TGGCAAATAGTGATATCAAATCTATTATCTCTCCCACTTTTAGATCCATCAGCCTCTGCGTGTGGAGCTTCTCCCTTCTCACAACACTTTCTTATTTTTTCTGTAACTATTAAGAAACCCACAAGTGCAGCAAACTGATGATAAATTACTTCTACATATATATGTGTGTGTGTATATATATATTTGTATGTATATTCGTATAAAAAATGTTTTTGTTAGTTTGTATATATTTGATTTTACATAAATATATATATGTACAATACTATCCTCACTAGTGAGGATCTACAATATCTTCACATCTTATGTGGTTCAATAAAAATAAAACACCTCATCTTTTGTTAAACAGGTCAAAAAAAAATGAACGAGATCCTACCCGAATGAGATCGGGTAAAAAGGGTTGAGTTTTATTTTTTTATTTTTTATTTTTATTTTATTTTATTTATAGGGTTCGACGTCTAGTTCTCTTTCCGGCACAAGAAAACAGTCCTCTCTCTCTCTCCGCCATCTTTCCTCTCTCTTCACCATCTTCTTCCTCTCAAGTTTCTAGTCTTGGAGGTCATTATTCAATTGCCAAGGTATTTCAGTATCTTATCAAAACCAAGGAACATAATATTAGGAGAAATCATGTTTTTGAGTTTTGTGTTAATATGTATGTGAATCCTCAATTTTAACACATAATTGTTCATGGAAAGCTCTTTTCTAGAAAAAGATTCCTAAATGTGTAAAAAAAATAAAAAATAGATCATACCTCCTTCAAATATTTTTGGCAATTGAATGATGACAACTATGACTAAAAACTTGAGAGGAAGAAGATGGCGGAGAGGGAGGGCTGAAGGCTGGTGCCGGAAAGAGCCCACACTTTTCCAAACCCAGAAAATAAAGAAGGTTGAACCCTAGAAATAAAATAAAGAAAGAAAAAAAAAAAAAAAACTAAACCCTTTTTATCGGATATCATTTGAGTAAGATCCGTTTTATTTTCTCTTTCTTTATTTTTCTGACCTATTTAACAAAAAATGACATGTTTTATTTTTATTGGACCATATAAGAGGTGAGGATATTATAAATCCTCACTAGTGAGATCTACGTTTCTCTCTATATATATTATCTCAACCTTTTTTTCTCTGTCTGCGATTTTTTTTGTGTGTATATATATACAGTATATGTGTGTAATTGTGGTTTTACATGAATAACAAGCCGAGCCTTAGTGAAGTATCCTGAGCCCGAGCTTGAGCCCAAACATAAGTTAGCCAAGCTTGACCGAGCCCGAGTAAGCCTTTGAGTCTGGCGAGCCGAGCCCAGGCAGCCCCAAGCTCGGCTCGGCTCGGTTCATTTGCAGTCCTAATGGCAACTACAAAAAATTGTGTCTATCCCTGCGCCTATAATGTTTTGTCACAACCCAAGCGGCAAATAATGATATCAGATCTATATATCTCTCCCACTTTTAGATCCATCAGCCTCTGGCCATCTGCGTGTGGAGCTTCTCTCTTCTCACAACACTTTTTTATTTTTTCTGTAACTATGAAGAAACCCACAAGTGCAGCAAACTGATGATAAATTACTTCTACATATATGTGTGTGTGTGTGTATATATATTTGTATGTATATTTGCATAAAAAACGTTTTTGTTAGTTTGTATATATTTGATTTTACATAAATATATATATATGTACAATACTATCCTCACTAGTGAGGATCTACAATATCTTCACCTCTTATGTGGTCCAATAAAAATAAAACACCTCATCTTTTGTTAAACAGGTCAAAAAATAAATAAACGAGATCCTACCCGAATGAGATCGGGTAAAAAGGGTTGAGTTTTATTTTTTTATTTTTTATTTTTATTTTATTTTATTTATAGGGTTCAACGTCTGGTTCTCTTACCGGCACAAGAAAACAGTCCTCTCTCTCTCCGCCATCTTTCCTCTCTCTTCACCATCTTCTTCCTCTCAAGTTTCTAGTCTTGGAGGTAATTATTCAATTGCCAAGGTATTTCAGTATCTTATCAAAACCAAAGAACATAATATTAGGAGAAATCATGTTTTTGAGTTTTGTGTTAATATGTATGTGAATCCTCAAATTTAACACATAATTGTTCATGGAAAGCTCTTTTCTAGAAAAAGAATCCTAAATGTGTAAAAAAAAAAAAAAAATAAATAGATTATACCTCCTTCAAATATTCTTGGCAATTGAATGATGACAACTATGACTAAAACTTGAGAGGAAGAAGATGGCGGAGAGAGAGGGCTGAAGGCTGGTGCCGGAAAGAGCCCACACTTTTCCAAACCCAGAAAAACAAATAAGGTTGAACCCTGGAAATAAAATAAAGAAAAAAAAAAAAAAAAAAACTAAACCCTTTTTATCGGATATCATTTGAGTAAGATCCGTTTTATTTTCCCTTTCTTTATTTTTCTGACCTATTTAACAAAAGATGACATGTTTTATTTTTATTGGACCATATAAGAGGTGAGGATATTATAAATCCTCACTAGTGAGGATCAAAGTTTCTCTCTATATATATTATCTCAACCTTTTTTTCCCTGTCTGCGATTCTTTTTTTGTGTATATATATACAGTATATGTGTGTAATTGTAGTCTTATATGAATAACGAGCCGAGCCTTAGTGAAGTATCCCAAGCCCAAGCCTGAGCCCGAGTTTGAGCCCAAACATAGGTTAGCCAAGCTTGGCCGAGCCCGAGTAAGCCTTTGAGTCTGGCAAGCCGAGCCCAGGCAACCCCAAGCTCAGCTTGGCTCGGTTCATTGGCAGTCCTAATGGCAACTACAAAAAATTGTGTGTATACCTGCGTTGTGTAGCAAAGATATTTGCAACTACGAAATTTACCTCCCCATTCCCCGAAATATTCAATGGTATTTTGTTAATTTTAATTAAATTATCCAATCAATTAAAGAATTGACATGTTTTAACAAGTGGGTCAAGTGCAGAAAATACTCTATAATATATTTAATCACACCCCTGAAATATTTAAGTTATACTTTGACTAAATTGCCCTTATATACACATTTACATAGTATTTAAAAATGCATTATTTTATGAAATGGTGAAAATGGTCATTTAGTACATGAGGGGTAAACGCACTGTAAACAAATTATAGGGGTGTTTTTTACACTTTATAAACTATTGTATTTTAAAATTTTTAATTTTAACGGTTAGAATTAATTGATAACGTAATTTTATCGTGATTTGAATAGTATGATGACGGTAAGTGATTGAACACCCATTTGTTTGTTTGTTTATTTTTTTTTTCAATAAAAATTGAATAACCATTTGTTGCCATTTATAGAATTATATATGTGTGTGTGTGTGTGTGTGAAAATATATTGCAAATTCTAAAGTTTGAAAAATTAAATATATATTGTTTATATATAATGAATAAGTATTTTAATTTTATTTTTAACTATATATTTAATGAAAACTTATAACTATATTAAAATTTAATTGGGAATAAATTGTTTTCTTTTTTTATAATTATAAAAGAACTTAAATTTTCATTATATATAATATACTATACATAAATACATTTTTTTTGTACGAACACTGTTAGCGGAATATATAGCGATTTTTTATTTTTTATTTTTCCCGAAAAGGTGGGAGTTTATCCTTAAAAATAGGTAAAATATAGTGAATGTGCATATAACACTCCTATAGTATGAGACTATTAGTATACCCATCTCTTTGGGCATTTTCGGAAGAATAAAAGGACAAAACGGATATTACAGCATTACTTTATGTCAGATTTTTGATTGGTGGATGTTTCTGCACAATTTTAAAATAATAGGAATGTTTTTAGCATATTTTTTGAAATAGGGTGAAAGTGCTACACAAAGTATACATTAGAAATGTTTTCTGCACTTGATCATTTTGCAAATATTGTGACGTTTTACATTACATGGGCAAAATTTTTGTTAAGGAAAATGATAAGGTCACCGAATTATTTCCCTAAATAAGTCCCGAATTTGACGTGTTTTTGTCCACCTCATTTACTTAAACAGTTTTCAAAAAATAACTGTTTAACACGTACTAAGTATAGCCAATCACGTCAAATTCAGTGTTAATTCGGGAATTCCTTTTCGGTTCCCCTATCATTACTCTTTTATTAATCATGAAATCGTATTTTAAAAATTAGTAGCTCGGATTAGGAAAGCCCTTTAACCTTGTATATGCGTTTTGCATAAAATCGTAAGCATAGAAGAGCGTGCAGAGTAAACAGTATATCAACACGGGTGTGCTTGTAATATTCTTTGAACAAAACCATGAACACGAATATTAAAAGGATAATACTTAGGTCTTCATTAGTGAGATCTCTAACATACTGATATTAATCACTGCTGTAGACCAATAATCAATGGACATGTCATTTTTAATTACCAAATAAAAAATGGTGGGTATCTCTCACTTATCAAAATAGAGATAGTGATTTGATTATCATATTTGATAATTAAAATAAGATGTGTCCATTTATTATTAATTCACATAAGTGGTTAGCATATTGTAGACCTAAGTATTGTCCAATATTAAATACGCAATATAAAATTTAGAACAATACTTATAACATGTCATATTTAATTATCATGGGGAGATACTCACTTTTGGTAATTAAAATAGAATGTGTCTATTTATTATTAGTTCACATCAACGGTGAGTAAATATGTCAATTTATAATTGATTCACTCAACGGTGATTATAGTGTAAGAACTTAAGTATATTATTAAATTAAATAATAAAGTTATATATTTAAATATTTGTTTTTTCTCTTTATTCCCGGACAAAAGAAACGGAAACAACACAACGAAGCAACCCATCAGGCAACAACAAACACAAATTACACAACAAAACAACAATTATAAGTTGATATATTGACATTTTCAAAGAGTATTAAAAGTAAAAAAGAACAATTTTGATTTGATACTACTACAACGTAATTAGTAATGGAAAAAATGACCAAACTGTCCAAAGCACCAAGCATATTCTCTCATGTGCAATTGATGCGTTTGATTTGTGTGCAATCTACAGGTAACCCCGTTTTTCAACCACACTTCAACCACATCAACAGTCTTTGAACGTCTCTTTACCAAACAGATCTCTAGCTCTATCGCCGTCTCAACAGTCTCTCCATTGCTTTACAATCATCGCAGGTAAGCTTCAATCGCCACGAACTTTTCAAATAATCGAAACCCTAATCTGATTGTCTTCCGAGTAAAATCCCTAATAATGCGTATTCATATATGCATATATACGTGTTTATTTACGGCGTACAATTAGGGTTTGTTTAGGATCTGCCCACTTCAGATCTGTTCCTCGGTATATGAATTCAGGGTTATATTTTTGTTCAATACGTGTTAAACTACAACCATTTATTTGGTTTTTGAGAAATTTATGAAATGGAATAAACTCTAGCGTATTATGTTTTACTTGTGTTGTTTTGGTTTCTGAAATGAAATGAAACACTCATCTGCAAATAAGAATAGTTGGATTTGAGGTTTTTTATTTTATTTAGATATGGGTTATCGAAGAATGAAAAATCTAGGATTGGTTGCTATTTCAGTAGCATTTCTATGCAGCCAAACAGATGATAAATAACATTGTGTATCTGCCCTTCTTTCTTTTCTGTTTTTTCTTATATATATATATATATATATAATTGAATATCTGTATTCCAATCTACATGCTTGAGTTGACTGGAGCTTTTTATGAAATATGTAGGATTGTGAAGCTTATTTTACATGGAGGGTGTTGGAGGTGATGGTGCCACAGTAGTGGCACCTTTGAACCAATGGAGGCACGATGCATGGAAGCTTTTTCAGTTTTATTTAGATAAAACTACACCACATGCTGTCTATAGATGGGTCGGAACTGTAGTTTTAGCATTCATTTATGCTGTGCGGGTTTTTTATCTTCAAGGATTTTACATTGTGACCTATGGTCTGGGCATTTATATACTGAATTTGTTGATTGGGTTTTTGTCGCCTCTTGTTGACCCGGAGATGGAACCTTCAGATGGGCCTTTGCTACCGACAAAAGGTTCGGATGAATTCAAGCCTTTCATTCGCCGCCTCCCCGAGTTTAAGTTCTGGTAATTGCATATAATCCTCTGTAATTGTTTGCATCTTGTTACATTATATTTATCTTGCTAAAGGTATGGCTATTTGTCTGTCACTTCAGGATGCTATAGCCTATTCAGTTATTCTTTTTTGCATTGCTTTGTAGGTCATCTGCATTTTTATTCTTTTGAGTTCATGGTTCTGTTTCCTTCCTTTTTTGGATTGTTTGATGTCAAAAATTATATGTAGAATGTTTGCTTGCTTTTGGAAAATTATAACATCAGGAATTTGCAAATGTTCTTTTTTTATTTTTTTATTTTTTTTCATTATTTTTTTTATTTGTTTGGGAAATTGGAGAAATTTGTGAAAGATATGGTCATTGAGTCTTAATGTCATGTACAGAAAATGATACTTGAGCCTTCGGACTGTATTACAGTATTTTGAAAGAGCTGCATATTGACTTGCAATTAATAAATCAGTTGCGGTGGAGTTGGGCCATATGCTTGGTCCTTTATCTAACCAACCGCCCCCCCCACCCCACCCCACCCCACCCCACCCCAAATACAAAAAGAGAATTGGAAAGCAGACGAAGTCTTCACACATCCTTGCAACAGTAAAATATTTTTCAGGTAAAACAATTTACTCCAAAAATCCAAAATTGACTTATATTTTAAAATTACACAACTCATTTTCCAGAATCCTCAAGTCTACCGCTCTTAACATTGCTTTACTAAGCAACTGGGAACTCTACATGTAAATTTTCTTTCTAGAGGAGTTACTGTTTCGTCTGTATATTCCCTTGGCCACTGGTGATTATTTCTCGATGCCAGCAGGCTTTTCCTAGTATCAATGATTTTTTCTGATGCCATGATTGTTTCTGTTGTTTGGGATTCCAAATCCAATTTTTGAAGAATTTTCGGTTTGTTTGATTTGGGTTTAAGTGAGTTTAGGTTAATGGTTCTTCCCATAATGTAAATATGAAACTTTTGGTCGGTGTTTTGTATTTGATCTGATTCAAAGTAAACTTGATTTTACCATAGCAACTTCAGCACTGTTTCAAGTCTTGTTTACCCATTTTGCTTCTGATTTGAAATTGTGTCTGCATCTTCATTCCTGTATATCTACTGTTTAATAAATTGTTCAGTAACTTTTTTTTGATCTGTTTGTCTTTGGGACTATAGATAAGTTCCGTAATTTATAAATGTTTTCTATAAGAATCTAACTATCTCTTAAACGTCTGATATAAACAATGTCAAAACATGTTGATCAGATTTTTGACTCAAAAAACTTCTTTTTCCTTGAAATATTTTCAGGATCTAAAGCCAAACACTGGAAAATTGAAAGAAAAAAATTCATTTTACATGAAAAATGTTTTACAATGAAAATAAATTGAGGCCTAGATAAAAAAATCTGAAATCTCATTGAGTTGTCTCAAAGCCAACTAAATGAATCTGATTTCGGTTACATATTTCCAGCCATCTATAATCCAAGTTTGATTCTTTCTATGATTCCGGAAACTCGGCCAAAATTGTTGTGTTGATCACTTGGTTGTCTATACTGTCTTGATATGTGTTGCAGAGGATGGGTAATTCGTTTTTGTCATGCTGGTTGTTAGTTCTGTTCCTTTTTTCGTTTTAAGAAAAATGTTTGGTGGAATGCTTTCAGACAGACTCAGATTATTTGCTTGATATTTGTTCAAATATAATCATTTTGAAGAAAAATGTTTAATATCTGCTCAAAATGTTCGGTTATCTTATGGATAGTGCTTCAACTGCAGTGTGTTACAGTTAAGATTTTAGGTGATTATTTGGTGGCCTTGTCATCGGTATTAACAGAGGATTTGAAGCAGAGATCTGAACATTGGAAGATGGAAGTTATAGAGAAGAGAATATAGGAGAAGGAAAGTAAAGTAAGATATAATTCAGGCTTTAGGGTAACTTTTATCATTTTGAATAACCAAATAATAAATGGAGGATGAGGTGGTTGTAGGGGAGTGCTAAGAGTCATTCTAAAATTACTGCATATCGCGAGTCGGGAAACTCACTAGTTGACTATTTTAGTATCATTGCAATTGTCCATTACTACTGAGTTACTATAAAGATAAATATGATGTGTTAAAGAATGCTGTCTCCACAAGTTAGGTGTCCATTGAAGCCAAGTGTAGTAAAGGTCTACAATGTGTGTATTACTCTGAGCAAAGGCTTATAAATACTTTCAGATGTCATAACCTTCTGGTTCTGGCCAATTAACATTGGGTTCTTTAGGAGGAATATCTCTTTAGGTAAAATTGTGCATGAAGGCTTGTATATGTTGTTTTCTTTAGGGGGGGTTATCTCTCTAGGAGAATAACATTTGGTATGAAGGCTTATTGATGCCGTTTTATTAACTGTAATAAAAGGGATTAGCATTTGCTTTTCATGTATGAGTGCTAGGCAAGCCAATAGCCAGAAACTAGGTGGTTAATGATTGGTCAATTATCTATAACCCTTTACGGAAAATAGATTTTCATCCAATATGGTAGAAAACTGATTTTTTGGTGAGTAAATGGTCTTCAACTTAAACAAAGCGCTAACAAAGTAAGGCGAGCAGAATGTGTTTGACATGCTTCAATCTTATAAAGTAGCGGCTTCATATTTGGACACCTTTCAAACATTTCCCTTTCTGAAATGACTGGGCAAGAAAATTAAAACACTGCATTGGAGAAATTCTGGATCCTGTCTGCAATGAAATTGATCCTTCTTGTGGAAAATTAAATTTATTTCATGTCAGGTAAGTTTCATAATCTCTCCACGTGTATGCATGAATGAAGATATTTAGACCATCTCAATGCTGAATTTGTTATGCAATCGTCATATTGAAATCAGCAGTAGCTGTTACCTGATTTCAATACTTTTTCCAGCATGTTTTAGTTCTAAAGTCTGTACCTGTTCCAATGTTTCTCGTCCGTAGTTACGGAATGCATGCAGCTGTCTGACCCCACTAGTTTCTATTTGCATGTATAGAATCTATTCCATTTTATTTATTTAACAAGCATAGTTATTACGTTGTAGTAACTGTCTTACTATCTTAATGGCATATTGAAATCAGCAGCAACTTTTACTTGATTTCAGTCCTTCATCTCATTAAAATTTTTTATCCTTCTTTTTTATGTAACAAAAGATTTTTTTGTATCTTTGTAATGCAAGTATTCAATCTTAATCTCATGATGTGATGCCCGACTTACCATACAATCATCGATTTTCTGGTTAAAATGTGATTTTTCAGAATTTGTCGAAATACACTCACTTTCTTCCTTCTGCAGTGCCATGAGTATTCTCTTTTCCTATTTTTTATTAACAGATAAGAAGTTACGCTGTCCTCTGTCAGAATCTTTCGATTGTTATGATTTTTTTGGATTTCATGCTTCTGTTCCAGCTTTTTTTTTTTTTTTTTTCTCTTCAATATTTCGGCCCTTATAGCTGATTGATGCATTGTGGATATTGTGCTTATCCTATTAAGTGCGTTATGAAACGCAGTTTGAATACCACTTAAAATGGGGTAAAATTGTAATTGAGAAGGCCTTCACTTATCACTAAAAGCTGAACACCTAAAATTCAAAAAGATATCAAAGAGATCTTTATTTTTAATTACCACTTAAAAACTTTAGCACTTAAAATTCAATTTTAAAATTTTCAGTACTTAATTTTCAGTTTTATCAAACACCACCTTTGTTCTTATCGGAGCTATGTTTTTATCGCTGTCCAAGTTTTGCACTTGCGTGAATAGTTGTTTCTCAGTTTCACCATTTTTCAAAGTAATACTTATAAATTATTTTAGCCTGGTTGTTTTCTTTTTTATTTCCTTCCAACTGACTGTTGACACATGGTTAAGGTGTTTTATTGTATATAATATAGACTGTCAAGTAGACATGGGACACCACACTTTTTGTGGTTCCTGTTGCCTGCAAAACCTTAATTTTTTTTCAAAAAACATGCAAACCTTCATATAAAGTGTTTCATTAAGGACAAATGATAGATCATAGATCCCATTTTGTTCATATAATACACAGATTGAGCTGTTCTGTATTCAGGAAAAAAAAGATTGAGCTGTTCTGTGTCAGTTACTGGCATGGTTACTCCTGTCATTCCAAGCTACCTTAAGCGTATGTACTTGGTGAATTGATGTAGAAACAAAAAGCTGTTTTTCCAATTATTTTGTTCAGTCCTTTTTTTAATATATATATATATATATATATTTATTATTTTGGGATAAATTCAGTCCTTTGTTGATACATTAGCTTGGGACATTTCTTTTGATAATTTTTTGTGGTTCCAGGTATTCCATTACAAAGGCTTTCTGTATAGCGTTTGTCATGACTTTCTTCACCATGTTTGACGTTCCCGTCTTTTGGCCCATATTACTCTGTTACTGGATCGTGTTATTTATCCTTACAATGAAGCGCCAGATTGTGCACATGATTAAATACAAATATATCCCATTCAACATTGGAAAGCAGGTGAGGTCCAAGTCATTTTAGATATATTTCTCTCCAATTCTGGAATTACTTATACAAGGATCTTTTGTTTGTGTCATTGTTGGTTAATGTGCACAATTAGGATGCTCATCTTGTAGTATGTCATGTTGAGGGTGCTTGAAAGTAATACTTGAAGTGTTTTCTGCCGTTTTGCAACAGAAATATGGTGGCAAGAAATCTGCAGCTAGTAGCAGCGGCTCTCGTGGGGACTAAAGTTCATCTCGTTTATGACTAGACCAAATGGACGAGGATCAAGAAGAGAAGAGAGTGAGAGAGGAGACATGCATTTACAAAGATTGATCGTTAGATCTTTACTTTGCATTATTTACATTATTATGGATTTGATGATGGAGTTGCGAACATGTAGTTCACTTGTGCTGCATTGTGGAACCTTACCAGCTTGCTTACTTCGTATTTGCAAAGGTGAAAGTTTTTATTGTTTATACAAATATCTTCGTGATTCTTGAGGAAGTTTATATATTTATTCATTTATGTATTCTTTTGCCTACCCTCCACGGTAATCGGCATTGTAATCGAGTCCTAGGGACATACAATCTATTTTGTACCTCGCATGCACTTTCAGTTTCATTAAATTCTTCATCGCAGGTTGAGACTCATGAATATTGTTTAACTTTAACCCTTGTAAACAACTTTTGATGGCTTGTGGTATATCCCCGATTGTATGGCTTGCCTGCTAATGGATACGATTTTGCTATCTCATGGGTTTTGTAATTCATCTAGAAACTCGTGTTGGAAATATGGGTGATATTACGAATCGACCAAATCTTTTGAGGGTAATAAAGAGCCAATGTTTAATGTTTTTTATTTGTAGAATTTCCTGACTATTGCATTAGAAAACATTGGAGTATTTGATGCACTAACCTCTCTGCAATGATAATACTACCCTTTTCCTCTTTGTTTTATACTGTTGAAGAAAAGCAATTTGTTTTACTCCAACTATTAGGTTTTTACCATTTTTAATTAGTCATACATCATTACATAAAAATTGCCAAATAAATGGACCAGGTTTCTCTATCAGTATACAACAAAATGGAGTTTTGTTGACTCAGAGGCATGTACATCTAATCCCCATTATTTATATGTTCGTGGTTAATTAATAAATGATACAATATCATCACTACAACAGCCCAGCTTGTAGTATTTAAGTTTTTATAAGAATTCTTAATGATATAAGGGCTATATGAAACTATACTATATAAGCCTATTAGACTGTAATCCCTTAAGTCACACAATCATTTTTAACAGGTGTCGCTCGCTCTCATGTTCCGCGCATACTTCCGCTCAAAATTTCATTGCTTATGATTTAATTCGCTCACGCTCTCGAATTCGCTATCGCTCCCGCTTTATGTGTAATACCAAAAGATTAATCTTTTTAGGAAAGTGGATTACGAACTTTGATAATCTAAACAATTAGACTGTAAGTCAAATCTCCACTGGGCCTCTTATCATATTATCAAGTCCAGTCCATCAGTGGGTACTGATTTTGGGCCTCTAGCTTTCATTCAAATCAATAGGGGACACACCAGCCTCCATCGTCTGTAAGTAAAAACCCTAAATAACCAAAACGCCCGCCTGAATCTCCCCACCTCAGTTCTGTCTCTTCGTGGCAAAAACAAAAGTTCATACACACTGTTTCTCTCTCTAAAACCCTAATCCTAGAGGGAGAGAGATGGGCAAGGTGAAGGGTAAGCATCGTTTGGACAAGTACTACTACCTAGCCAAAGAACACGGCTACCGATCTCGTGCCGCATGGAAGCTGCTCCAACTCGAGTCCAAGTTCTCCTTCCTCCGCTCCGCCCAAGGCGTCCTCGACCTCTGCGCGGCCCCCGGTGGCTGGATGCAGGTCGCCGTCGTGCACGCCCCCGTCGGCGAACTCATCCTCGGTGTCGACCTCGATCCCATCCGCCCCATCCGCGGCGCCCTCAGTCTCCAAGAGGACATCACCAAGCCCCAGTGTCGCACCGCCATCAAGAAGGTCATGGCCGAGAAGGGTACCCGGGCGTTCGGTTTGGTGCTGCACGACGGCTCCCCCAACGTCGGCGGCGCGTGGGCGCAGGAAGCCACCACTCAGAATGCGTTGGTCATCGACTCCTTGAAGCTCGCTACTGAGTTTTTGGCCCCCAAAGGGACCTTCGTTACTAAAGTAACTAAATTTCTCTCCCCTGCCTTCTCTTTAGATGAAAAGAATTCTTAATTATGACTGAATTGTGTTCTCTGTTCAGTTGAATTCGAATTCTTAATTATTTATGTTATGAAGCTTGTTGACGATTCTCTTTGTTTGCAATATATATATATATATATATATATATATATATATATGAATTTGTCAGCATGTATAAGCATTTCGGTGATAGTTTTGTTACAAATTTCCTCTACAAGTACCCCTAATGGTTAGCCAGTTTTGTTTTCAGAAATCACATCTAAGAACATTTCAGAATTTGTTGCAGCAAAGCCTAATTATATCATTTCCTGTCCTTTTTTTTATTTTTTATTTTTTGGTGTGCGTGTTTGTATATTGCTTATATCTCAGCTAATTTGCACTTTTATTTATTCATGTATGGTGTATTGCTATATTCCTCATATTATTAGCGTATGTATGTGTGTATGTTTGTACTATAAACACGATGTGAGGTGATAAATTATTTTTTATATATATATATATTCTTAGTTAGTACTCACACACACATGCACATGCCTCTATGTGAGGCTTGAGCCATTGACTGCCTGATACTGTTAGGCTGGCCGGTTGGTTATTATATATGTTTTTCGTTCTTGATTGTTAGCTTTTGAAGGTTTGGCCTTGAACTCTTGTGTTTCTGGCCTGGCCTGGCAAAAACTGAAATCCTTCCTTTACAGTGGAATCCTAATTTATGTGTGCCTGTGAACAGATGACAGAACTACTGACAGTGTTAATTTTTCTTGGGATTTAGTGTTTGATCTCAATATTTCCATAACCAGAAGATCTTTTAGCTTCTTTTGTTGTATTTCAGCTTGAGAAAAATCCATCTCTGCTATTCAGCAGCTGGAAATCCTTGCGGGTGTATTATTTTTTCCAGTAGTGAATATAACAAATTTCTTTCAAAGAGAATCAAGACTATAGTGCTGTACTATATTTTTCTTAATTCGTTTAGGACCTTAGGATGAGTACTTATATACTTTCATGTTCTAGGTTTTCAGATCTCAAGACTATAGTGCTGTCCTCTACTGTCTTCGACAGGTGATGCTTCTTTCTTGTATTCTAAAATGCTTGTTCAAATCTTTATAGCTGGAAATGTTCCTGATTTTGGAATTTTGCTTTGCAGCTATTTGAAAAGGTTGAGGTTGATAAGCCATTGGCCAGTCGTTCAGCATCTGCGGAGATTTATGTTATTGGTTTAAAGTATAAAGCTCCTGCAAAGATTGATCCACGTCTTCTTGATGTAAAGCATCTATTCCAGGGAGGTAAAGAACCCCCAAAGGTAATTCAATTTTGATAATTCAGAATTTTGTCCCACTTTTGTTATGTTATCCTATATATACTAGTGCTATATTCTGATCTTTAGCTTTCCATTTTTGTTTAAAAAAATAAAAATTATTTAGGTGTTGGATGTACTGAGAGGAACAAAGCAAAAGCGACATCGTGATGGGTAATCCCTTTTTTCGTTATATCTCATTGAGTTTGTTAGTTTCTTCATACATCCTTGTGACAACGAGCTTTAGTGCCTTTACAATGTGGTGTGACAAATAATCTATCCTTTCAGAAATTAATTGAGCTTGGAGAACATGCAATATTTTGGTTTTTGACGACAACGTAATGAGGATGAGACAAATTTTTTTTGCCCGAGACATCACATTTGAACATGCATGTAGAAATAGTCATGTACATTTTCCTTTTCTTTATTTTATTTATTGTTGTAGTGTCTATTTACTTTGACATTTTTTTTAGTAGTTCACTTTTCAATATTCTTTCATTCATGTTTTTGTGCGTGCTTATGAATGTAAATCAATGTTGTGGTCGGCTGCTTACTAGGTTCTCATTTCAGGTATGAAGATGGAGACACGACTTTGAGGAAGGTGTGTTCAGCTACAGATTTTGTTTGGAGCGACACACCTCTTGAGATTCTTGGCTCCGTTGCTTCTATAAACTTTGAGGATCCTGCTTGTTTACCCATAAAAGATCATGCTTTAACGACAGAGGAGGTATGCTCTTTTATTCTTTTGTTATTCCTTTTGTTGTGTTAGAATGCCCCATTTGTTCTCCCTACATGGTTTTTAACCATTTCAAGTGCCATTTTATTGTCAGGTTAAAGCTCTTTGTGATGATTTGCGCGTTTTGGGAAAGCAAGACTTCAAGCATCTTTTAAAGTAATGAACCCTTCCCCCTTTCCAAATGCATGTTATATTTCATTTTCTAAGAAGCATGGACACGGACATGAGACATGACTAATATAAATATAAAATTTCATTTATAAATCTATTGAGTAAGACAACTACAGAAATTAATTTTAATTACTCCTCTGTCCCAAAAAGAATGTCTCTTTTGGGGAACTGTGTAAGTCATAGTTCCTCAAAAGAGACATTCTTTTTGGGATAGAGGGAATAGTTTGTAATTTATATGCTAAAGTTGCATAAGCTTGACGATGAATCCATTCAAATATCAAATAAAATATATTATATTACGTATGATATAACCTCTGTTTCATGAACTCATAGATTCTTTAAAAGTAGTGAAGTACTCGTGTCGGACACATATCGCTCGGACATGGGTACGGGATATGTGTCCGACACTTTTGGTTGGACATGTACTTAAAAAAACATATCCAATCATTCAATTACATTATATTATTACTTTAAAATGAGTTAAATGCTTATATTGAACATTATATTAGATAAAAACATTACTTTACTCTAGAAAATAAAATAAAATAATTAATAAAATGAATATTTAGCCGTGTCCATGTGTCCTTCTATTTGGAGATTTGATACGTTCGATGCATGGATACATACCCGTGTTTAACACCCATACCAGAGTCCATGTAATATAGGATATAACTCTCCTATGTTGTCATTATAGTTATGTTTTTTTATCATTACATACTGTGACATGTGTTTAATGTCAAATTTCTAAAGAAAAGCAGGTTTGATGTATGTTCACAATGTTGTTTCCATGATGTTTTATATAAGATAAAGAGTGTTGAATGTGTTGATTGAGTGTCCGGAATGTATTGACCAAGTGTTTGAGATGTGTCAGCCAAGTTTCCAAAAATAAAAATATATATATTTTTAGATTATGGACATGGCCATGAAGTGTCGGACACATATCCAGGAGTTTTTATGAAGTGTCGGTGTTTGACACAGACAGGGCACCTTTGTAGAAGTGTCCGTTCTTAATTTTTTATTTTTGGATATTCAACAAATTTGGAAATCGTTAAGACGCAATTCAGAAAACTTTAACTTGTGATAAGGCTTTCAATGTACAAGAGGAAATCTCTAATTAGGAATTTAGGCTCCGTCTCAAAGCACATTTAACCACAATTAAGGTGGAAAAACCATATAAATATAGGCAGAGTAAACACATAACTTGCTGGAATCAGTTTCTATCTCATCTATTGAAATTCTAGGGGCAAGAAAACAAAAAATTCAACAAAATATATCCTGATAGGACTTAATGAATCAACGAATTTGTTCCAATTTTAGAAGTTTAAGTGCCATGGTGGGGTATACATAGATGTGGTTGTATGAGAGGTTGGGTTCTAGCACTTGTTAAGTTTGACTACTATATTTACCTATTAACACAGCACTAACTGCTCATAAGACCATTGCTCAATGTTTATCCCATTAATATGGGTCCGGGGAGGGTTTGATTGATAAAAGCCTAACCTTTGGCAGTATTTGCATGAAACTGGTTGCATTTACACTAGAATCCACATTCTCATGCTGGATCAAGTTGTTGCTGATAAAATATCAAAAGAGTGACCCTTGATTCCTCAATTAAAATCTATAGAGTAAAATCTACTTGTCTACAATGCTGCATATTATTAACTATTAAGGTTCTTGGATGACCCAATTGAGTGCACTTAGTCCTAAGGGCATTTCGAGAAAATTAGTTATTTATTAGCTACCATAAGAAAAGTTGTTGTAGTGGCATTGTGTTTAATTTGCATTGAGTTAACATTTAACAACAAAGTGAGTAAAGAAGAAAAAATAGAAGATTTTAGAAGAATAAAAAGAGAGGAAGGACTAAAAATTGGGGAGCATAGAAATTTCTGGGTGACATGCATCCTTAATTGCACGCTGAACTAGCTCCCAAAATCTGTGCATTTGGGGGTCTGGTAAGTTGATTTGTTGTCAAAGGGCACCATTTAACTTTGATTAGCTGATTTGCAAAGTTTTTGGTATTTAGGATACTTATGTTGGGGGTATTAAATTACTGCTACCATTCTAGGATTATAATTTATTATATTTGTTTCATGTTTATTTCGTCTTATAGGTGGCGTGCGCATATAAGAAAGGCACTATCCCCTTCACAGAAGGCCACTCCTAAAACCACAGATGTTGAACATGAGAGTAAGGATGATGAAGATGAGAGAATACTTAATGAAATAGAGGAGCTGACGTATGCTATGGAGCGTAAGAAGAAGCGAACAAAGAAACTTCTTGCAAAAAGACAAGCTAAGGTAAGTGCTTATATCCACATTCCCACATCCTCCCTATCCCTCAACTCCTTAGTCTCTACAACTCACACATATATAAGGCAAGCTGTGAATCTGATTCAGAGTTATCAATTCATGTTTGACAGTGATGCTTTATGTCTCTAGTTGATAGGCATGAAAGTAATTTCTGTCATCTCCATATATATTTCTCACTAGATTTTTATTGATGAATTTATTTCTACAAGAACTTGATTGAAATCAGCACCATGTCAGTGGCTCTACTATAGCCATTGCATCTCTGACTCTGATCTCGTTCTCATCTGTTTCCACCTGGATTTGGCAATCCCATTCTCCAGCAATTGCACCATCACATTGTGGGGTTGACGAGTCTTCCAGGTTGTTAACAACCATCTACTCCAAAAGCTTAAGCTGTTAGAGAGGGTGTAACTTAAATATATATCCTTCAACACGCCCCCTCACGTGTGGCCTTCTTTTGGTCCAACACGTGTTTTTCAATTTTTTAATTAGGGTGACGCTGAGGCTTGAGCTCAAGACCTTTGGCTCTGATACCATGTTAACAACCATCTACCCCAAAAGCTTAAGCTGTTAGAGAGGCTGTAACCTAATTCGTACTAATGTTGTAGTCTGTAGAGTTGGCCTAGACTCATTCTTATTCCAGGGTCGGGGTTGAGCCCTGGCATAGGTCAGCATGGCATCCCTAATTTCAGTCCGTGTCTTGCTGGACCAGCTTGAGGCCATGCCCATCATAATTGCTGTTGCGAACATAATACATCTCCAATCTATTGTCATCACTGCTACTGTCTACCTGAGATCACACACCGCCTCTTTCTCTTCTACTCTGCTGCTTAGTTGCACATGGGCATTATTATGTATCCTATATATATATATATATATATATATATATTTTTTTTTTCTTTTCAAAATTTTAATTTTAATAATTGAGCGTGATGCTTAATATTTTGAATAAATGCTAACTAATCTATTAATTATATATGATAATACACGGATTATCTATTGACATGCAATAATTACTTCGACACTGATTATTATTATTATTGTAATTTAAATTTCCAGGAAAAAGCACGAAAGGCTACAGGGATGCAAGTTGATGCACTGGAAGATGGTTATACTGACCTTGAGTTGTTTTCTCTATCTACTATCAAGGTCTGATTTAATTGATCATTTAATCCTTTTGTTGTTGTTGTGAATTCAAATTCCTTACTTTCATTCTTCTATGTTTCAAGTCAAACTTGAAGTGGGATTTTGTACTCCTATTGTTTCCGGAATCCTGACAACTCTTTAAACCCCATGCTTTTAATATGTTTAGATAGAAATAAAAAAAGAAGATTTTTAGAAGTGATTTAACAATCCATAATTCACATGTTACATTCATTTAAATCTCTCTATCTCTTTCTATATATATATATATAGATAGATAGATAGATATATAGATTAGTGTGTGTGTCACATGGCCCTTTAATTAATAACTGTCCTTTTATAGCATTAGCATAAGTGATGTTGTAGAATATTATGGCACTATTTCTGTACTTAAAATCATCTTAGTACGCTGTTCATGTATTCTTGTTGGACATGAGGTAATATCAATATATCTTGCACTTATGCTAGAACAATTCCACTTGTACTAGACACTTCCACATTAGGTAAGATTTTTTTTTCTTCTTTCTTTTGTCTTATTGTTCATTTCCTTCTTTTTTCGGTTTTTTCTTTTTTGGGGAGAAGGGGTTAGCTTCTGGATTCTTTTAGAATCTTTCCATATTAATTGACATGATTTTGTAACTTACAGAAAATCTAAAAGACCATTACCCAGTGCTGATCCGCACCCACATGGGGGTATTGGGTGGGGAAGACTGGATAGGGACCTAAGATTTGGCATTAATTTTGCACAAATTAGCTGCTGCACTTAGATTCAAACTTGAGTCCTCATGGTTGTCTGTCAAAGTTTTTTTTGGAAAAACATGTTAATATTTAATTTTTCTTGGGGCAGTAGACTTGGTTGCCCTAAATTTACTTAGGATTGGGATGTACGAGTAGCAGCAGCTTGTGGTAGAGTATAATTATCCATGTAGCCAACCCCAACTAGTGTTTGAGCTGAGATGATAGACTGGATGGACAAGTGTTATTAAAGAAATGATAAATTGGAAGGACAAGTTATTTTGAGAAAATGAAGTTAACAAGTTACATTTGGTAGTAAGTTTAACAGCATTCTTGTATGTGGACACGAGATGTTGGACTGTAACTTCCGAAAATGTATGCATGAGAACATACTTATCTGTCCTTTGTTTTCAAATTTGCTGTCTTGAATGCACTGACATCTACTGTTGGTTGGGATTGTGTGTGAAAGAATCTAGTTTTTTAGTGATGAAAGTAAGCACTTCCAAATAGGAAATAGGTTACAAAGAATTGTCTGGTTATTGTGCACATGTTTTGAAGTAAAGGATGGGGTTCTCTGACCAAGCAAGTGCTAGTCATGCCAACCAGTGTTGGGACACATTAATTGTTGGTAGAAGAATGTCCTGCACATCATAGGTTTGTACCCCGCCCAACACACAAATTCTTTCTATCATGATTATTGCCCTGTCATTACAATCCTGTCTTTGGCGACTAAAAATTATACTGAGTCTTTGTATGTTTTTTACTTACTAACAAATATTTCATTGGTTCCATTCTTTCTTACCTCAATATATTATTGACATTCAGGGCAAGAAAGGTTTGGTAGCTGTTGATTCCACTGAATATGATGATGAAACTGGTGATTTTAGGGATAGTGAAAATGAAGATGCCTATGAAGCGAACCGAGTGTATTCATCCAGTGACGCTGATTCTGATGAAGAACGCAGACGGTAATTCTCTCTCTTTGTTGTAGTTGATATAAACTGAGGAATATCTAAGTTTATAGGGATATATAATTAATTGATACATTCTGTTGTTAGATATGATGAGCAGCTGGAAGAGTTTCTCGATGAAGCTTATGAAAGGTTTGTTTCTAAAAGGGAAGGAAGTGCGAAGCAGAGAAAACGTTCAAAACAGGCCTATTCCAAGGATAACCAACTTTTAGAGGTAATGAGATTCTTGTCAAATGTGGATTTCTTTGTCCTTGTTCTTGTTCTTCCTTTCTTCTTTCCCTCTTTTGGGAGAGAGAAGTATAAAGCGGTTCTTTTCCAATTTATAAATTTTGTCTTTTGGGATAGATTCATAAAAATATTGTCATAATTTGTGTGGTATATATACCATAGCAAACGATTATATTTTAATTTTATCCATGCTTCACAGTTAAGGGGAGGGGGTGTAAGGTGGTTCTTTTCTATTTTTAAATTGTTATGTTTCTCCTATTATCCATTTGTAAGTGGAGAAATATATCTTGGAATTTTTGACCCGCAAATAAATTTTTTTCTTCTTGGCTTTATTTGCCTTGGAAGTTTGGGGAGACTGGAGAGTCCTATCACATTTCTTCCAATTATCTTTCAGAAAATGTAGTCCTTCAGGACAATTTTTTTTCATGGGAGAGTATTTCCTTCAATTTTTTTTTACACAACGCACTTTGTGTCACAAGTATCTTTCCGTTCTTTTCTATTTCTTGTGGTTAAATCTGTTGTTAGTTCAAGATGGGTTGATATACCAAGAATTAGCCCATCTTTTTTACCCATGGTTGTTGTAGAACTAGATCATTGGCCATTTGTGCTGTTGCTGATTTTTTTTTTTGCATTGATAGTCTGGGCTTTTCTTTCTGTTTTTCAGGGTGGTGATGGTGATGATATAATTCATTCTGATGAAGACTCGGATAACGATCAGGGTGATCGTGAAGCAAATCCTCTGATGGTACCCCTTGTTGAGGAAGAGCCAACGCGAGAGGAGATCACGAAGACGTGGTTTAGTCAAGATATATTTGCTGAAGCAGATGAACAGGAAGATACAGGGAAGTATGACAGTGAAGATGAAATGCAGGTGGATGATGGACCAGGGAAAGAACTTCCAATCTCAAACAAAACCATGAGCAATGAAATGCAGGTGGATGTTCCAGGAGAACAACTCTCAATCTCGAAGAAGGCCAAGAAAGATAGAGTACAGCCAATCCAAACTTCAAAGAAAAAGGACGATTTTGAGATAGTTCCTGCTGTGGCTACTGATTCCAGTGACTCATCGTCTTCAGATGAGTCAGAGGACGAAGATGTTGGTACAAAAGCTGAGATACTAGCCTACGCAAAGAAGATGCTGAGGAAAAAACACAGGGAGCAGATACTGGATGATGCCTACAATAAATATATGTTCCATGATGAGGGATTACCCAAATGGTTCGCGGATGAAGAGAAGAAACACCACCAGCCAATTAAGCCTGTGACTAAAGAGGAGATTGCAGCTATGAAAGCTCAATTCAAAGAAATTAATGCTCGCCCTGCAAAGAAGGTTGCAGAAGCCAAAGCCCGGAAGAAGCGTGTTGCTATGAGAAAGCTAGAGAAGGTTCGCAAGAAGGCAAACACAATATCTGACCAGGCAGACATCAACGATCGTTCAAAGAGGAAGATGATTGACCAGCTTTATAAGAAGGCGGTGCCCAAAAGGCCTCAAAAAGAATATGTGGTGGCAAAGAAAGGGGTTCAGGTCAAGACCGGCAAAGGGAAAGTCCTTGTTGATCGTCGTATGAAAAGTGACGCAAGATCGCGTGGTATGAGCAAGCAAGGGAAAGGTAGTTCAAAGAAGGGGGGAAAGGCTGCCAAGGGGCAGAGAGGTAAGGGGTCTGCAAAGGCTTCAGGGAAGGAAAAAAAAGGGTACAAAGGAAGAAAGAACAAGCCATGATTGAATGGGTGCGCGGTGTGAGCGGCCATTTTAAAGACTTATTGCCAACTCAATTTTGCCGTATTATTGGTTTTTATACAACTTGTGCATTGAGGTTCTCTCCTCGGGAGTTTAATATATGAGATAATTTGCCTCGGATTTTTAAGTTGCATATTTTACATTTCACCTTATGTATATTATTACTCGTGTGATTTCTGACAGACATGATTTTCATGCAGAGTGACACTAATAATGATACTTGCACTGAATTGTTGCACCTAATGTTTCTGATTGATTATTTATGCATAGTACATATAAATGGAGGTCCCTACTTATTTATTTATGCATAAATGGACCGATTAAAAGAAATAGGTGTGACAATTCATTACAACAAATTACATAAATAAAAAACTGGAACCTTCCATTTACATGTATTATGCATAAATAATCATAAAATTTTTTTTTCTCAAGAAAAAATGCTATCTTGCTTTCAAGTAGCTGGACAGCAGCATTAAACTCAAAAATAGCATGATCAAGCTGAACACTCGTATAATTGCCATGGGGTATTCTGGTGGTACTAAGGTTCAAATATCACCACTACAATATGTATGTGTGTGTATGTATGTATATATATATATATGTGGATATATATATCATCCATTTGAGACCAAAAACCTTCAAATTCGATTTAACCTCAGCATAATAATTACATGTGAATAGAGTATGTATCCACTTTCCTTGGAATCCCCTGAAATGGCTCAATAAAGGAACAACTAATCTGTAAATTTTTTAAGACAGATCAGAATTCAGAATGCTGCCAATAAGTTCTATTGACTAGACAAATTGATTAAGGTACTCGTCCACGGTGGTGCATTTGACATCGGGATAAAGCTCAGAGGCCTCCATTCCGAAGGATGGTTCAATCTCGAAGTTTGTCTGATCTCCCTTAACAAAAGCAGCGTGACTGATTGCTAATACCACATTCATTGGAAACGAGGCCTCTGCAAGAGCAAGGGAATGAATAACCAGCATAAAACTTGACATAAATTTCAGAAATCACAAAACTCAACCATATTTTAGTAGTGTGTGTTTCACATACTTTGAATGTTCTTCAACACCTGCTCTTCTGGAACGTAAATCCTTTCAAGGGTTTTGCCAATCTTTTTCTCCCACAAGGATACAAGCTCATTCATGGAGTATATGTTGCCTGGGGGATTGATGTAGAGGATTTTGTTCAAGGTTCTTGGATCATCCACAGCCTTGATGGTATAGGCTCCAATGTCATCTTCTTTGTTAAAAATTGCTGTCATGAATGATTAAACTGGTAAGACGAGTTTAAAATACTTGGAACAGATTTATATCATTTTGTCAAAATTACTGAAGTTGTAATAATACGAATGTGGTGAACTGATCTAAAAGGCTTGTACATTTGGGAAAAGAATTAGAGCCAATTGGGGAAGATGCTCTAGATTTTCCAAAATGTATAAAAGGAACCACTTGTCAGCTGGTTCAGATGGTCTGCTGTATTTCAGGTTCGAAGGTCTACCAGGTTGGACAAAAACCACACATGCAAATACACACACACATACACACACATTAGTAGAACTTCAAACTTTCGGAAAGAAAACTTTACAGAAGATATTGTTTATTACCTTTTGGATTCCCATCCCCTAAGATAACAATTTTGTCTCTTGGTGGGGATGTGACTCCTGGCTGGCACAACGTTGGAAGAAAATAGCCAGCAAAAAAGTTGGAAGACACAAAAGTATGCGGAATTCCCTCAGCCTCCACAGCTCTGCGGATTTGAGACTTCGTCTGGAAAGCTGTTTTTGCAGGTTCAACAGCATGGACACGATCCACATCCATTCCAAACTCAGAAGTGAAGAACCTCTGAACAACATGATGCATTTTAAGAACAAGGCATGGAGTACACAGAGTCAACAACCACATCCATTCCCCCCTCTCTCTCGCTTTTTACTAAGCAACAAATTATATCTATTTAGTCAATTTATCTCTTTATTTGTTTTTTGTTTTGTTTTTTATAATTATCCATTTAGTCAAATTATTATGTGCATCAAAAGCTAAATACAGAATAAGCTTCAACAAGGCTAAGGCGCTCATAATATGAATAGAAGAGCACTTTTCCAGATGACAAGGAATAAAAAACTAGACAATAATAGGAGTTACACTACATAACAGTCCAGATAGATTTCCTCCTCTCTTCGAATTATTACCTTCTTCATTTAAAATACCTAGACATTTCTCTCAAGACTCTTCTAGTTGGACTATATTATTGGCGTTCGTCAATTTAATTAGAAAATGGGATTGGCAATATGGAGGCCAAACACTAATAACATGTCCGAACAGAGCAGCCTTCTTTAAGAGGAAAACCATACCCCCATGGATTTGGTTCCGTATGTCATCCGTGTGGATGTGCTTAACACTGAATACATTACATCCTCAAACCTAAGAATGTATATAGGGAAATAAAAAAAATAATAAAAAACTTCTAATATTATACTTTTATTTTACAGTGTGAAATAGTTTTCTTATGTAAGGAAGTGTTAATATGAACATTTCATTCATTTTGAAGTAATAATGTATTGAAAGGAAGGGACATGGATATGTTTTTTTCATTCTCACTGTTTAATCGACTTACTTTGTATTACTATCCTCTCTGCTAAGATCAAAACTTAGTGCTGTCAAATTTCACAACAAAAGCTGGAGTTTGTATTTTTAATTTTAGCTTTTGATTAGAGTTTCAAAAGTTAGCTAGTGGTGTTTCCTAGGCTTGTCAGTGAATAGGGTTTTGTTCCGAATTCAATTCGATAACTCTCGGATATGGATGGAAGATTTAATCCAATAACATGATAAGTATCCAAATCCAATCATCGAATAAACATCAATTACACAATTTACATTGATATGAAATAAAATGAGATGAGAAAATCACCAGAAAGCAAAAAGGGAAAAATCAAATGAATCAAGATAATTTACCTTGACGTTCCCAGCTTCTTTGATGGCGGCAATGATCTTGACTTGATCGGGTACCATTGCAGTACCAACTGTGGAGATCACCACATCCACCTGCTTTATCGCATTCACCAAGCTCTCGTGATTATTTAGATCTCCCTGTGTATATATATAAAAAACAATATCAATTCTCAATTGACCAAACAACTCTCAGGTAAATAGTGAAGTTCGCACAAACCCTAACACTCTGTTCGGTTTCTAAGAAAGCGAAGGAAAAGGAAAATATAGAAACAACTAGAAAAACCTAATAAATTAATAAATTAACAATTGATTTTTTATTTTATTTTCATTTATCGAAGAAAAACACAATGAAGAACTCTCATGTTTCTTTTCTTTGGTAAATAGGGAAATTCGAACAAACCCTAACACTCTGTTTGGTTTCTAAGAAAGCGAAGGAAAAGAAAAATAAAGAAACGATTAGAAAGACCTAATAAATAAATAAATTGACGATTGAGTTTTTCCATTTACATTAACCGAAGAAACACACAGCAAAGAACTTTCATGTTTCTTTGTTTTTTTCTTTTATTTTCCTCGGTTTTCTAGAGAACCAAACAGATTAAGAGACGGAAGAAAAGGCGGGAAAATTGTTTGTGATCGTACGGACCTGGATTAAAGCGACGCCGGAGTTCTTGAAGCTCTCGATAATCTTGGATTTTGTGGGACTTGAAACGGTGGACTCTCTGATGAGAGCAAAAGTCGGGTGACCGGCCTTGGCGCTTGCTTCAGCTATGAATTTCCCGATGTATCCCGTCCCTCCGATGATAAGAATCTTACTTTTTCCGGCCATTTTCAACACATTTAGCATATATGACGGCAACGTTGGGTTTTCCGGTGAGAATTGCAGTGCTCACGACACAAGCTATATAGGGAGAGAAAGAAGAAAGAGAGAGAGTGGAATGGGAGCAGATCCTATAGAACAGCCATGTAAATGCGGGAATTTTACTTGGTTCCTTAAGTTGCTAATGTATAGTGGCACTATCAATTAAAAGTTTAGCAATATTCGCACTTTCTAAAATATTACTCCATCTCTTATTAATAGTTTATTAATTTTTTTTTTTACATATCTTAAATTAGTTATACTTTTTAAAAAGTCAAAATATTTTTTTATTATATTTATATCACTATCCTTTATATTTTTAAAAAATTTTAAACTTTAGTATTATATATATTTAATGTTTGAAGGACAATTTAGTAATTTAAAAAGGGGACAATGCATTAATTGCATGTCCCCTAAAAAAGTTGTAAGACCAAGAATGAACAACTAATAAGGGACGAAGGTAGTGCTATATTAATTATATATATTTTTCAAAAGGGCTTTCTAAAATATTATTCTCATTTCACTTTTTTATTATTTAAAAAGTGATTGATCCCTCCTTATAATTCTTGAATTTTGACTAAATTTGTGTTCTTACCGTTCAAAATTAATCAAGTTTTCTTATATTTTCGCTCCATAAATTTCATTTCGCGCTCCAACTCTTTATTTTATTAAATAAAATAACTAAACAATCCTTCTCTCTTTATTTTTAGCTTCCTTCCCTCCTCCTTTATCTTAAAACTTTATTGATGAATTTCCTAACACTAAAACTCTTATAAATAAATCTGTCTTTTTCTTTGTTTCTTCAATAAACAGCGTCGTTTTGTCTTTAGTCCATCTCTATTGACTTCTCATGTTTTATTAAATTATTCTCTTTGATTAAATTTCTTAAAACAAAAACATAGATTTACACATAAACGTCAAACAATCTGGCCAAGAAAGAGTATTAAATATAATAAACTCAACATAAACACCAATATCAAAGATCCATTGCATTATAACTTAAAAAATTATTTGGTTATTGCAAGCAGTCAAAAAAATAAAAAATTAATAACTCAAGTTAATTCAAGATTTGATACATTAATAATTTTCATCAATGCATCAATTTCACTCATCAAAATTCATTATAAGAGATCATGTTGGGTTCTCCCATTAGAAATTGAAGTTCATCTTCCAGGTGAGGTGAACCAATGAAATTAAAACACATGTTGAAAAATTTAAAAAAATAAAATAATGGGTATTATCCATATTTTACTAGTTAAATCTTAAATCTTTAGGAAATAAGTAAAATAAAAGAGGAGATAAGTTATTACTTACTAGTAAGATAAAATGAGGGAAGAAAAGAGAAGTTCCTTGTAAGATAAAATGAGTGAAAAAAAAGGGAGCACAATACAAGAAGATAAGGGTAAAGGATAAAAAGTTGGAGCGCTAGAGAAAGTTTCTGTAGCGCCTATATTATCACCCTTTTCATTTTATATCAAAGAAATTTACTCGATGCTACAAATATACTAATCTTAAAGCCTCTTGAAATTTAAATAAAAAACTAGAAGGCATTTGTTAAACTTGGACAATTAACAAGGCATGTACACAATATGGTACTTGTGATATTCCACAAAAAATTGTTCACCCAAAAGCCAAAATAATCTTATTTTGAATTTATTGTTTTTATTTTTTTTGGAGGACCACGTATACAAAATTATTCTCGAATTTTCAACCATTCTATCTTACTTATTATTATTATTTAATTAAAAATAAATATTTAATTCTTAAAAATGGAGGTTAAAAATAATTTTAAAATGAATGTGCACTATTATTACTTCTCTTATCATTCTAGTCGAAATATTGAACTAATTCTTTAAATCTAAGGATTACAATAGTGAGACTCGCCCCTTATGCCTATTTAATCGAAACAAACCAAATCATTTGCACTTTAATTGTCTTTTAGTCATCATACAAACATGATGGTCAGTGAAGAAATAAATGTGAGCAATATGTTGAACATTTTCAGAAATAAAATAATAAACAGTCTTGAATTGGATAGGCATTCAATTTATTAATGTGAATAGAAATGACATCATTTCAAATATTTATTTATATATATATGTATATGTATATAAAACTTTTCAATAATATTGCTAAAGATTATGGATCTCATAGAGGCTCCCATTTAACTTTTACAGTAAAATAAAAAAAAAAAAAGGGAAAAAAGTAAGAAAGGCAAGATCAAAAGGGAGATTTCAAAAATTTTATTAAAGTTAATTATAATTATTGCCTCTTGGTCTGCCAAACACCTCAAAAATACTTTGTTCATTTACAAAACTATAAAGGCACTAGGGTATAATTCTCTATATCTGAGAGTTTTAATCACCTTTCAAAAAAAAAAAAAAGTGGGACTTTCAAATATAACGGCTATTTCCACCTTTTTCTAAATTTTAAATTTGAAAACCATAAAGAAAAGCCTAACCGAAGGCCAGAGCCAAACGCGACCCTCTGATAACTTTACATTTAAGTTGCAGAGACCCCTCTCTCTTTTCATTTAAACCCTTCAAGCTCTCAACGTCTTCAGCCATCATCAACCTCAATGCCCTTCCTCAGACAAAGAATTTGAGGCACTCCAATTCTTCAAGGTTTTGCTTTTCTCTCTGTTCTTCTCTTTTCTTTTCCACTGAAAACTATATGATTTTCTAAATTATTGCACGCAGAATCATTCAAACTTTTGAAATCACAGATCAATCTCTTTGTTATCTTAAAAACCTAGATTTTTTTTTTTTTTTTTTTCTCTCTTTTAATAATCATATCTGTTTCTCACAATTTCTTTAAAATCATGTGATTTCTTTGTTACAGATCTCTTCTTGAAGATTCAATTTCCAGAGAATCACAACTCTAGACTCCCCAAAACCAATCATCAATCTTTTTTCCCCCGATTCAATTCGTGGTAAGGGTTTTTAGTTTCGCTTGTGTGATTCATCGTAGTATATGTATATACGTGTGTGTATATATATATATATGTTCTCTGCTTTTTCGATTGCAATCAAATTGTTTCCATTTAAGAGGAAATTGAATGTTTCTTTACAGGTGGGTCTTGAATCGTTGCAAAGATGAATGATCTCATGACAAAATCGTTTCTCAGTTACGTCGAATTGAAGAAACAGGCCATGAAAGACCTCGAAGCAGGGCCAGACATCGAGATGGGGCAACTCGACCCTGCTGATGAAAACAACCTCTCAGAGTTCTTCGAAGAAGTGGCCATGGTCAAGACCGACATGGAACAGATCACCAACCTGCTTCTTGATCTTCAAGACCTCAACAAAGAGACCAAATCTACTCACAGCGCTAAAGTTCTTCGAGGCGTCAGAGATCGAATCAACTCCGACATGGTCACTGTTCTTCGAAAGGCAAAGATCATCAAGACAAGATTAGAATCACTCGATAAATCTAATGTGGCGAATCGTAGTTTGTCTGCTGCATACAAAGAGGGAAGCCCAGTTGATAGAACAAGAATTTCGGTCACTAATGGTTTGAGAGTGAAACTCAGAGATATAATGAATGATTTTCAGTCCTTGAGAGAAAAGATTGTTACAGAGCACAAAGAGGGTCTTAAGAGGAGGTATTACAATGCCACAGGCCAAGAACCGAGTGATGAAGTGATCGAAAAGATGGTTTCTGGAGGTGGGCAAGTTGGGATTTTTGAAGGGAAGACAGATTTGGGAATGGAGAATCAGGAAAGGCACGAAGCTCTGAAGGAGATACAGAGGAGCTTGACTGAGCTCCACCAAGTCTTTCTTGATATGGCTGTGATGGTTGAGACACAAGGTGAACAGATTAACAATATTGAGCAGAATGTGGTTAATGCCGGGGCTTATGTCAGTGGCGGCGCAAAGGAACTCATTCAAGCTAAAAAGATGCAGAAGAGGAGGACTTGCGCTTATTGGATTGGGGCTGTGATTCTGATACTATTATTGGTATTCCTCATTTCAATTCTAACTTGAAGTTTTGAAGATTATAACTTGGTTTTACATTGCTTTGTTTGTGTTGAGGTGGTTTGGTCTTCAAGTAGACATGTTTTGAGCTTTTTGTCATGAAGAGGCTTTATTGTTTGAGGGAAATTTTCATTGTACGTGTCATTTTGAGGGAAATGTGTTTGATGATATCTGTTCATCATTCACTGCATTTCTGCAGTTTGAGCTTTTGTGCAATTAGGAGGATTGAGATTTAAAGAATGTAAAGTTGGTTTTGTTTCTCTTCCTTCTGATACATGAATTCAGCTTTAAGTTTGTGATATCCAATATATGTAAAAGGGTTTGTTTTTGGTATTTGTTGTTTTTCTTTTGTTCAAGTTCGCATTTCAGATTGTTCATTGGTTATGCACTCTTTTATCTCAAATAAAAACCTTGCTCATTGTCTTGCAACTCAAAACAGGAAGAGGTCATATTACTCTTCCCACTCTCAACACTAAGTGCCACTTAAGACTTGGACTTCTGCACCCCCTAGCTTTCAACAATTCATCCTAGATGATTTGTAGACTTGTAGATGTGTACGGAAACTGATTATGACTCAGGGCTTAATCAAGATTAGGATGGTAATTGCCAATTTTGTAACAAGTTATTATTATTATTATTTAAATGACATTTGGAACAAGTTAATGGACAAGCCAGTGGCCTTGTGATGCTACATCAAGTTCTGCTTTGGCGGCAAAGAAGAGGTGAGACCTTAGGGCCATAGGGGTCAAAGCTGAAGAGTGATGTTTTATTTTGCACAATTGGGTTCTGGAGGGACTTAAAATGAACTGGAACCAGACAAAAGAGAAGTGATAGAGCTCTGGTGGAACTTAAAATGAAGTAGGCTCAGGTAATCATTGAATTTTATTTTGCACAATTGGGTTCCAAATACACCCCAGAACCTAATACAATTTTTTTTTTTGGTTTTCATCCTTACATTGTTACAAAAAAGTGTCAGTTTCCATAACAGTTAATTTATATATCCCAAAACAAATTTATTCGACTCCAAAAAACTAGCAAGGTGGAAGATCTTTAGGTGGAGGCAAAATAGGTTGATCTGAGCCTTGTCCATTCTCCACCACAAAGGCCGTCTTCAATCCTCAGCTGGTATGAAGTTCCAAGTGACAGTGCATGAACCATACACCTAAAAAAGATATAAGAAGCTTAGTATGAGTACCATGTGCTGGTTTAAAGAAAATATAGGAATCATTTTTTTTTTCTTTATTCTTTATATTTTTGACAATCTTAGAACCCTGTATGATTTGGTTATGCTTGTGGACTGTACATGGATTATCAGCCCTAAACCTTATGGCAGTTTAACCACCAGTGGGAACTCCAACTGTGTTTCTTTCAGTGAGAAGATTCGTGTCTTGTAATACCAACTCTACCATAGAATTGAAGGCAATCTTACTTAGCCGTGTGCCTAGTAAAGTCTTGAGGTTGGCAGTAAGTGGTGCACTAGTGTAGTTAAATGGTGTTGGAGTTTTGAAGTCTGGGAAGTCTGTTGTAAATACTCCCTTAAGGTTTAAATAATGAGCTTGGAGAAGGCCAGTTTGGGGCATTCCAAAAGAAATGTTGTTTAAGGAAGTGGTAAGTTGAGTTCCATTTTGGCAAGTTGGACGGGTTAATTCCCAAACCAATTGTGTAGAACAGATGTCTATTAACTTTGAGAGTTATAATTATTGGTATGCCTCATTTCAATTCTAACTTGATGCTTTGGAGATTATAACTTGGTTTTACATTGCTTTGTTTGTGTTGAGGTGGTTCGGTCTTCAAGTACACATGTTTTGAGATTTTTTTCATGAAGGGGATTTATAGTTTTATGAGGATTTTCATTGTACATGTCATTTTGAGATAAATGTGTTTGATGATATCTGTTCATCTTTCACTGCATTTCTGCAATTTGACCTGTTATGCAGTTAGGATTATTGAGATTCAAAGATGTAAAGTTGGTTTTGTTTTCTCTTCCTTCTGATACATGGATTCAGCATTAAGTTTCTGATAGCCAATATAAGTTAAAGGGTTTGTTTTTGGTATTTGTTGTTTTTCTGTTGTTCAAGTTTGCATTTCAGATTGTTCATTGGTTATGTACTCAAGGGGCTTTGTTGTTTGATGGGATTTTCATTGTACATGGCATTTTGAGCGAAATGTGTTTTGATAATTTCACTGCATTTCTGCAATTTCAGCTGTGCAATTAGGAGGATTGAGATTCAAAGAATGTAAAGGTGGTTTTGTTTTCTCTTCCTTCTGATACATGAATTCAGCATTAAGTTTGTGATAGCCAATTTAAAAGGGTTTGTTTTTTGTATTTGTTGTGTTTTCTTTTGTTTTAGTTTGCATTTCAAGAATGTTCATCGATTATGCACTCTTACAACTCAAAACAGAAGTTGTTCATAACATAATTCACTCTTCCCACTCTCAACACTAAGTGACACTTGAGACTTGGAATTCTGCACTGTAGCTTTCAACAAATCATCCAAGATGATTTGTAGATGTGTTGAAATCAGCTGAGTGGAAACTGACTATGACACAGGGCTTAACCAAGATTAGGATGGTAATTGCCAATTTTGTAACAAGTTAATGGATAAGCTAGTGGCCTTGTGACGCTACATCAATCACTGATTTGGCAGCAAAGAAGAGCGATGTCCGAGTAGGTTTAGGGCCATAGGGGTCAAAGCTCCAGAGCGAGGTTTTGTCTGGCGGGGCTTCAAATGAAGTGGAAACAGACAAAAGAGAGAAGTGAAAGAGCCGCGGTGGAACTTAAAATGAAATATAAATTATTAAAATTTTCGTCCTTGTATCCTGCTTTTTGCAAGAAATTGTTACAAGAAAGTGTCAGCTCCCATAAGAATTAATTTATACATCCCCAAACAAATTTATTCGACTCCAAACAACTAACAAGGTGGAAGATCTTTAGGTGGAGGCAAAATAGATTGATCTGAGCCTTGTCCATTCTCTACCACAAAGGCCGTCTTCAATCCCCAGCTGGTATGAAGTTCTAAGTGACAGTGCATGAACCATACACCTGAAAAAGATATAAAAAGATTAGTATGAGCACTAATGTACTATGTGCTGGTTTAAAGACAATAAAGGAGTCATGATATTTTTTTTCTTTTCCTTTATATTTTTTACTAGCTTAGTCCTTGTGTGATTTGGTTATGTTCGTGGACTGTACCTGGATTATCAGCCCTAAACCTTATCGCAGTCCAACCACCAGTGGGAACTCCAACTGTGTTTCTTTCAGGAGGATCAACCAAGTTATATTTTGCAGGGTCTTTCTTAGGATCAAAATTCCCAATACCAGTCCCAACAACAAAGAAATTGTAACCATGAAGATGGAATGGATGAGACTCCACAGTGAGAAGATTGGTGTCTTGTAATACTAACTCTACCGTAGAATTGAAGGCAATCTTACTTAACCGTGTGCCTAATGAAGTCTTGAGGTTGGCAGTAAGTGGTGCACCAGTGTAGTTAAAAGGTGTTGGAGGGCGGTCTGGGAAGTCTGTTCTAAATACTCCCTTAAGCTTGAAATAATGAGCTTGGAGAAGGCCAGTTTGGGGCATTACGAAAGAAATGTTGTTTAAGGAAGCGGTAAGTTGAGTTCCATTTTGGCAAGTTGGACAGGGGTTAATACCCAAGCCAATTGTGTAGAAAAGATGTCTATCAACTTTGAGTGGTACATTAGCTGGGAACTTTGGAGAGTTTAGACTCCGAAGTTTGGAATTGTAGCTCAGTGCAAAGGCTGTGTCATTAGCTGCTGGTAAGTGGGGAAGGGTTGGGACTACAGAGCTTGGAATGCCTTTATATTGTAGTATGGCTGTGGCAGTTTTGTTGTCTATGGAAAGTGGTGCATCCATGAATGGCCTAGAGGCCATAAAATATCTGCCCGGCACTTGGTTTGCTTGAATTAGAACATTTGTAGTCTGGCCAGGTGCTATTAGTATTGCTTGAGTTGTGAAAGGTTTGGTATAGACTGCATCAATCTCCACTACTGTCATGTTGTGCCCAGCAATGGCAAAGAAAAGCTCATCATTAAGTGCAGCATTGATGATCCTCAAAAGGTATGTCTTTCCCTGCTCAACCTGGATTGCAAAGGTATCTGAAGCACCCGATAAAAGATGACTTTAGAAGCAAATCCAGTGAATTTAGGAAGTAAAATTTGATGCAATCAATTTTAGCTTACGTTTCTCGGAACATGGGAAGAGTGGCCCTGGCTTGCCATTAATTGTATGTGCATCTGACATTTTTGGAGGCAATCCCAGTTTGTTGCCTTGTTTAACAACCTCTTCAACGTCAGTATTCCACCATTCTCCTATACCATTAACAAGAAAATGACTACTTCATAGGCTAATTTAGCATAAACAAATGGTCAATCTGTTTTTTTAACTCACCAAAGAGTAAATTAAATTCTGAGTTAGGCCGAGGGAAAGGATATGGTGTCCCTTGTTTGGGCATGATGACAATAGCACCATAGACAGTGGCTCTTAGCCAGAAGACATGTGCATGCCACCACAGAGTTCCTCTCTGTCCTGTCACATTAAAATCATAGGTGTAACTATGCCCTGTCTTGATAGGACATTGTGTTATATAAGCCGGTCCATCTGCCCAGCCATTACGGAACTGCTTCAATCCATGCCTGCAGAGAACCACCATATTATATGTTCATTAGCAAGACAAATGTAGTTCACATGTCATAACATTTTCAAAACATCAATTGACCCTCTACATGTCCTACCAGTGAATTGACATGTTGTATTGTGCATAGTTCGTGACATTAACTAGAACTCGATCGCCTTCTCTGACATAGATTGTAGGTCCTGGGAACATCCCATTTACAGTAACAATGGGCTTGGCATGGCACAACCTGCTAACATTCTTCACCTGAATCTGAAAATTATATATGAATGAGAAATATGTATCACCCGAAATATATCACCCAAGAAGCAAAATGGCAAGTATATAACACTACTCACATCAAACTGGTACTTTTTCACAGCAGCATCAGCGCGAAGAGAGACGAATTCAATGAAACAAATGAAAAAGAAAGGACCCCAGAAAAGGCTATTGAGCTTCACCATCTTCTCGAGTCAAAAGTGTTTGTTACTTGTGTAGGCTCTGTTTGGATACAATATTGGGAGTCAAGGTCTAGTGGTTTTATAGGGGATGAAGAGAGGTTGTGGTATTGATTAGGTAGAGAATGTAAGGGGAAGTACACCAAAGCTTTGAAGCAAAATACTGATAGGGACAAAAGGGTGTGAATCCAACTAGTAGAGGAACCAAAAACAGCTCAGAAACCTCAGGTTTATTGCATAAAATAATAGGTTTAAGCATGAGAGCAACGTAAAGCCAAACATGGCCTCTCTGAGCTTTACCGTTAAGGAAAAGGTATAGAATTATACTATGTTGTTTATGGTCACAAGTCCTCAATTTTGAACCCTGAGAGGTTCCATTTTGTGCCATAAATTTCAGCAAATCGCTAAAATATCAGTTTTCACTTTCTTTTGAAACTACCAAACGATGTCTTAGAGGTGAGTTCAGAAACAATCAGTTTGGGGATTATATTAAATGGCATAAAAATTCTTAGTTTAATATTTTCTTTGGCGGTTAGGACTCAGGATGACATTCCTTCTAAGCTTTTGTGACTTGTATTTTCATAGTTATTCTGCTTATTAAAATTCTTGAATTTAATATTAAACCACATTTATCGTGCTTAAAAAATATATTAGAGAGAAAATATAAAAATAATAATTGTTTTATTTTTGTGAGGAGTAAAGTTAAACTGTAATCACACTTATATTTCTCTTTGTGGTGGTTAAATTAACTAGGGACAATTGTGACAGAGAAATACTAATTGGTACTAAGGATAAAAGAGGAATTCCATGTAAATTAGGATTTTTTTGACAAACTTTATAAACAATAGGGGTAATTGAGTAATTTGACGCACATCCCTTGCCCATTCTCTTCTAGTTCTCTATAAATAACAAGACGAGAGACGAAACCCTAATCAAACGTCGGCTAGGGCTGCTTCTGAAAGTGATCAGGAGCCGAAGTGGTGAGTATTCAAGCATTCGATTTCTCCTCTTAGACTCATCTGGTTTCCCCACCATATGCATTATATATATATATATATATATATATATATATATGTGTGTGTGTGTGTGTGTGTGTTTGTTTATATATTTTCGTATCTGTATATATATATATATATATATATATATGTTCGTTCTATTTCTGAAAGAAGAAGGATGCGATGATGAGCTTATTATAATCTCGTTAATCTGATGGTTTGTGAGGATAAAATCTAATCCATTCCAATGATTCTGAGCACCTTCTCTTTGATTTCAATCCCATCCCTCTACGTTAACTTTATCCCCAAAATTTTATGTTGTGTTTGGTAGATTGGATTCAAGACTAGTCTTTAATGTGACCTATGTTAATTTTTGTTGGGTTGCTTTGCGGAATTATTTATGTATATAGATTATGACAAAAAAGAAAAATAAATTCTAGATTTTATTTAATATTTTTGGTAAATAATTAAAATTATTCATGCTAAAACAGAGGTTAGGTTTTTATGATAAACTTTTTTTTTTTTTTTTGTTCAACCCAAAAGGAAAAGAATTCAATTTTCAATTTGGTTAAGGAAATCGCCAATTTTTTCAACAGAATTTTAAAATTCTGTTATAAAATTCTCTTTTTGAAAACTGTTTTATCAACCTAACTAGCCGACTGAAAAAATATATTTTTAGTAATTCATATATTTTATTTTATTTTATTTTAAACCATTGAAATCATATTTTACTATTTTTCAAAATTAAAATAAACAATTGAAATCATATTTTACTATTTTTCTAATTAAAATAAACAATTAAATTCGTATTTTATTAATTTTTTAATTAAAATTGTATAAAATAAACAATTGAGAGTATATACGGTATTCATTTAATACAAATTTATTTATTTATTTAGTATTTAAAATTATTTTGGTAAGTTAAATTATTTTCTTTTCTTTTTCATATCATCTAAATTAATAAAATAATATTTTTTCTAACTTTTTAAAAAAATAATTTATTTTTATAATTCATTTTATTTTATCTATTACATTACACGCCAACATTATCATAAAAAAAACAACTTTAACGCAGTATCTCCACCACACAATTTGGAGCTTGCCAAAGGGCGTTATCAACTTAGCATGAATGACTAATATACATAGACATAGAAGCAATCTAGTGTCGAAGTGTATAGTGTTTACATATAGAAATGTCTACAATATTGTAGAATTGAGTTGTAGTCAAAATACTGCAAAAGAATAGGTACTATTGAGAGTGGTATACCACTACGCATTATATACATCTACGATTATAACTTAGCCATGTCATATAAATATTTATAAAGTTAAATAATTTAACTTTTATTTTGTTTTGAATATTTTTATTTGTAAAGTGATGTGGCATAGTGCTAATCTTGATATGAGATAAAGATTAACTTGAAAATAATAATTTATAAGGGGGTTAACTTAGGGTATCACGTCCTTGTACCCATTTCATAGGTCTGGAGTGGAAATATTTAGACCTCCTTGACCATTGTTCTATTATTGATATCCTCTTTTTGTTAGGTTAAAAAAATGAAAAAACAAAAATCTATACAAATAAATTGTAATTTTGTTTTTGTTATCAAACATTATTAAAAACTAAAATCACTTCTAGCTCTTCCAATTACGACGCGAAAATGCGAAACATGTTTTTTTAGTGTGATTGGTTTTGAGCAAGGGAATTGGTATATACACTTCATAGTTTTTTTTTTTTTTTTTTTTTTTTTTTTCAAATTAAAGCAATTTTCATTAAGTAAAGAACTTTACAAAAGTTGAGCTTGGCCCATAAGAAAAAGCAGCCCAAGGCTACAATACAGGTCCAAACTAGGACATACATAAAGCAAGATAACCACCACTAACTGCCGTTAATGGAGCATCAATACAATCCGGTGAAAACAAAGGAGGGCTAAAAATGCAATTGTTTTTAAAAAGCTCCACTTCATAGTTGTTTTTAAAAAAGAAAAGGCAACCATGCATTTGTTCTATAAAAATGTTCTTGTAATTTGTAATATTTATTTATTTATTTTGCAATTGTAATTTGTAATAGATAATGCTTGGATGCTGGACAAATTTCATCCTCTTTGGTTGTGTGGCCCTTAGATTTAGATTTCAAGACTCTTTTTTTATTTATATCTTAACAGTCCTAAAAATAAAGAAAAAAAAAGGGTAAAAAACAGATATTTGAAACACAAACTCTTTTCACACAATTTTTTTATAAAAGCAATTCTTCAGCAAAATGAATATCCATATTTTATATATATATATATATATATATTATTCAATTTTCTTAAAATATAAAATTACTTTTGAAAAGTAAATCAAGTTTTAAGAAAATTACTTTTGAAAAGTAAATCAAGTGTACACTTTTTGACCATTCACGAGTATCAATTTTCTCTTTAATCTTGAAAACGAAAAAAAGAACTAACCAGCGGCACAATTTTTGCCAGAAGGGGAAATTTTATGTGTTTTATGTAAAAATCTTTTGGAAAACAAATTTCAAAATCTGTTGTTTCATTTTTGGATAAATAATTATGAAGAACTCAAAATATACAAAATTATAATAGATAGTTATTTGGAAAAAAAAAATGTATTTTTCTAATTAAGTTTATTAAAAATAATTTTCAGAAGAACTTTATATTTAGTCATGTTGTTAAAAAATTGAACTAAACATCCTTTATTTCTTAAAATTTTCTTTTTTATTCCTAGCAACAGAAATTTTCTTTTTTATTGACTATCTAATAATTACAACAATATTCTTGTTAATTTATTTTTTATTTATTTCAAATATAGAGATACCATTAAAATTTCCATTTGCTCATTCCATTTCTTTTCATTTTATTGTCCTAATACTTATATTTCACAAAAAAAAAAAAAAAAAAAAAAAAAAAAAAAAAAAAACCGCCAAATTCCGACGTATAAAATTTCAACACGAAACTCCTAGGCGGCTGTGCAAAAAAAGTGTGGGGACATTTCAAAACCAGAGCTCGTCCTTTTGTTATTTCAGAATCAATTATTACCTTCTGATCAATTCTCTAATTAATCGAAAATTAGAAGCGAAGAGAAGAGAAGAGAAGAGAAGAGAGAGAATGGAAACGTTAATGGAGGAAGAAGAGTACAACTGGATGGAAGTGAAGCTGCCTTCGATGATACCGGTGATACCAGAGCCGGAATTGGAGAGAGAAACCGGCGATAGACGTCGCGGCCGTGATATTCTCATCGCCGTCGATCATGGCCCTAATAGCAAACACGCCTTCGATTGGGCCCTCGTCCACCTCTGCAGGCTCGCCGACACCGTTCATCTTGTCCATGTCGTCTCCAGTACGTCTATACACAAACACACACACATCTACATATTCTATTTTCAATAAAATGTTTGAATTTGAATTATCAATTTTGAATATTGTGTTTAATTAGGTTTGAAGAACGGTATTGTGTACGAGGCAACACAGGACCTTATGGAGAAGCTTGCTGTGGAGGCTTTCCAGGTCGCTATGGTGAGTGCTTTTGATATTTTTTTATTTTATTTTATTTTTATATTTTTATTTTTTTTCCTGAAAGAATAAATTAAGAGTATAGAACTGAAACGTGAAATACTCTATCGGGAAGAAAAGGAATTTGAAATGAACTTGAATATTATAACTCGTATAGGATTTTAATGAATTTCCTTATTGTGTTGGAGGCCATCTGCGTGTGTAACAAGGGTTATTTGTCCCACATCGGAATCGGATGGGAAAGTGATTGGGTATAAATGGGTGGGTATGCAGCACTATCCAATAATTTGAGTTTTTTGGTAAATGGGCAAGCGCCCACCCATTACAGTTGATATCAGAGCCAAACCTAGTCCTTGATTCGGTGTCACGCTGAGCGTCCGGTGCTGAAGGCGTTTGGGTGAGCACCCCGGGTAGGCAGGGTGGCCCGAGGGCGTTTCGAGTTTGGGTAGGAGAGAATGTAATAAAAGTTATTTGTCCCACATTGGAATCGGATGTCTACCCAATAGTTCAAGCTTTTGGGTAAATGGGCAAGCACCCAACCGTTACACAGTGCTACTTGATCAGCTATATTGTTCTTTGACAAAATTATTGCTTTAGGTTTGATGAGTCGCAGATACATGTTTCTGAACATGTTCAGCTAGGTTTATATGTAGATTTTTTGAATTGGGCATTTGTGGATTTAGATGCTAAATGATAACTAAATACAGTGAAAATATTTCACGAGCTTATGGTTTATTGTTAATCAGAGTTTTTGCATGTTCTACTGGTCAACTTCTAGTTTAAAAAATATTTAGTGAAAAAAAAAAAAAAAAATCCTTCATGACAAGTGTTTACAGTTGAGGCTATATGAATTTATACGAGTCACCCATTTATCAGCCTATACTAGGCTCATGTTCATGAGCCTATACGAGGCAAGTTGAACATTACTTGGGCTTGGTTCATTTTATAAATGAGCTCGAGTTTGGCTTGTTTGTTGAGCCTGAACAGTTCTTTTTATTTGCAGCTTTATTTATGAAGTATATTTGTTAAAGGTTCAAGTTTATGATTCGTGCACAAGATAAGGATTGCTCATTTCGCTTTGAAATAAAATAAATTATCAGTTGTTTAGATTAGGTGGTAAATCTGCTTCTTTCTTATAGGAAGGTGAGGATTCAAGTCTCGTTCCTGGCATTGGGGGAGGGGGAGGGTTTATGGTTTAAGAAGGGGTTACTCTCTGTTGTTTTGCCCGGGCTGTTGGACTGAAAAAAGGAAGAAAAGATAGTTACGTCGTTAAAATATGGTAGTTAATGTAGCATCACTCATTATTAATAGACTTTTCACTGTCTTGCACTCAAACCTATTCAATCACATGCTCCCCTATCTTTTAAAGCCTAACAAAGACAATTCCTTAGTGTAAAGGAGATTTAAATTCCTTAGTTTAAAGGAAATGTAATTTGATCAACTTGAAACAAAATTTAACCTGTTTTATTGGATAAACTTAAATCAATCCTTATTTTAAAACTATGACAAATTGATTTAACGTATGAAATTCCAACCTCCAACTATACTTTTATTAGTCAGCAATAAAATTTTACAAGTTGTGTTTACTAGTTTTATAATATTCAATTATTCATATGGAAATAGGTGAAAACAATGGCTCGGATTCTGGAAGGAGATGCTGGAAAGGTAATTTGCAAGGAAGCAGAAAGGTTAAAACCTGTGGCACTAGTCATGGGCACCAGAGGCCGAAGCTTAATCCAAAGGTCTCTCTCTCTCTCTCTCTCAGTTACACAAACAACTTTCACACGCCCATACACATTTGTCCCACCTGGGGTACTACGTAAGCCAATGGATTGGTTCTCTGTGCGGGCTCATGATTTGTGCGTTTCTCTTCAGTGTACTGCAGGGAAGTGTGAGTGAGTATTGCTTCCACAATTGTAAATCAGCACCCATTATAATTGTTCCTGGAAAAGGTAATATATCTGACCTAATTAATGTTTAGATATCTTTTCAGTGTTTTTTAATAGTCACAGGATTTAAAATTCAAATGTTGTATGGAATTGGCAGAGGCTGGAGAAGAATCAGTGATTTAGTCGAACTAGCAAAAGGTAAGAAACTCTTCCAGTTCTGATGATTCTGCATCCCTATAAACCTTCTATCATTGTAAGTAGTAACAATGTATTGTAATGAAGACAAGTTTGGTTTTATATGATCTTAATACATGTCAAAAATAGTTGCCACACATAGCTATGAACTGTGACCATTTTATTTGTATTAGTTCTATATGATCATTCAGTTGAAGATGAATTGTTGTAGAACTCAATGTATGGTTTAATATATATATATATTTTTGATAAGTAATGTATGGTTTAATATATAGTATAAACAATCTAAGAATTTCAGAATGAAAAAATGCAAGAGGGTGTAAGCTTGAGGGATTCACTTCTCATCTGGCCTAGCTGCAATTTCTGTGCCATCTCAAATGCTGTTAAACTAGTCTGCCAGTACTGCTGCTTCTCTGTCTCCATAACTCTCACATCTTTAGGAACGTTTTTCTAAACTTATACCCTTTCACATCAGGCTTGAAATAAAACATTCTATGCTCATTTGATCTCATGCAATAGGTCCTCACCAAGCCTCATCTTTGAAGCCCCCAGCAGCCAAATCATGGTTGCTTTTGATAGACCAATCTTATGTATGGCAAAATTATTCATGTTTCTGGCTAGAAATTGAGGCAAAGTATTGCGATTCTTGAAGTTGTAGATCTAGTTTAAAAACTTCAATTCAAAAGCGTTTCTTTCTAGTTATGTTGCTGGCCTTTTATCCATTTAAGTATTAATAGTGTCTCAGGTAGCCACTTTCATCTAACTTGCTCATACCATTTGGATCCTCATATGCAGACCTCCTAAACAGTTTAACATGAATTTACACTGTGAAAAGGAGGCCTCTGACATGGCTGAGACCAAGTGAAAGAGTGTTTGGCAGTGCTTTTGCCATGACTGACAGCAGTGGTGATAGTTGATGAATTCATCATGAAATGGCAAGCCTTTGTACTTCTTTATGTGTTTCCCCAAAGCTTCTTGTCCTCTGTCCTGATGATTTTGATACACGAACTGCTAACTCTATATTATAAACTCTGATTATACTGCTTCGGAACGTGAAAAAGTGTTTTTAAAGAAACCTGCAAATGGGAACCAATTATAAAAGTACCGGGTAGCTTGAGTGGTATTCCCTGAAACTCCGAAAGGTAGAATGCAGTGTTCAATTTTCATTGGGCGATGGGTTTGTCTGTACTTATTAAAAAAGAAAAAAAAAGAGAGAGAGAGCGAGAGAGAGAGAGAGAGAGAGAGAAGAAAAGAACAACAAAATACAAAATTATTGAGACCAGTTATAAAAACTTAGATGCTAGTGGAAAAATTAGTCATTGCCTTAAGCAACTTCCATTTCCACATAGTCAATAGTTTTAGCTTGGACTTTTGGTCCCATATCTACTTTTAGCTCTTGCTAATTGATCACTAAATCGCACTTTCCTTTTAGGAAAATCATCTTCAATACCTCTGCAGTTTTGCAACTCTGCCACTCAGTAGTTCTTGCAACACAAACCCTTAATTTTGCAACTAGTTGATGCAGGACCAGAAAGAAAGCAGGAGATGAGAAAATAGAAGAAGAGATGAGGCTAGAATAAGGAGATGAGAAGATAGATTGAAAAGATAGGTTGGATAGACTGAGGGGTTGAGAGGAACAAAAATGACGAGGGAGAAGAAGAGACAGAGAGAATTCTCAAACCATGATAATATTCCAAAGTATTCTCAAACCACAATAATATTCCAATAATCAAAGCTGAATATTTTGATTATTTAATAGCCTTTATATAGGTAAGATCATAATCAAACATTAGGAACTCTTTTTTTTTTTTTTTTTTCTTCTCGATAATCAAACTCTAGGAACTGTAAAAATTGGAAAATACGAAAATAACCCCAAAACTAAAATTACCAAAAATTTCCATGAACAGAATTAAGTAACCCTAATTTACTAAAATTCCTAATTCTATTATCTTTTCTTCTCCTCCAATAGCAGGTGCTAGTTATATGGGCTTCAAGCTCTCGGTCGTGTCTTGGTCTCTAACACTAGGCTATAGTCAGTTGGGCATGCCATATAGATCTTTGGGGCTAGGCCAGTCTAGGCCTCAGTTTTGCTCATGGAGTAACAATTTTGTATTACTATGCTGATTTGTAATTCAAACAAATTAGTTGAAGACGGTGTATAAGTACTGTAGCTTTTCACAATTCCTTTCAAGACATTGGGTTGCAATAGTTCCAAGTATGGGTCCCTATAACTAAACCTAAGACCTGCACCACTTGGGGCTTGGGCTTCTGCATTGCCCACAAAATCAGTTATCCAGTTGGCTCCAACCTGACTGGGGGTAACCTTTGGTTATGTCAAATTAAATTCCACAAGAATACCATAGTTGCCATGCACAAACTCTATGGACAAATTAAAGCCGAAAATTGAAAATCGAATTTGTTACGTTTTCATCCGTCCTCCCCTGCCTTATTGTCAAAGAAAGTTAGTTGATTCTTAATGTTGTGCAGATAATTTGCAAGGATTCTAATGACTAGTAAAAGACATAAACGTGCATGCTGACGAAAAGACTCGTAGCTTTGGAGCTGATTAAACATTGATCCTAACAAATATGGGCTGGAGAGCTGTACTAACATTGAACACAGCCTAGGGAATCTTTTTAGGTTTTAGCTTTCATTCCTTGGATTTTCACTATGTGCAAACCGAGCACAGAAATCTTAGATATTGAGAAGGGAAAATTGCACACTAACTGAAGTGGGCCTCATAATCTCTCGCCATCAAGTGAGGCAGAGAGAATCGAAGAAATATTGCCTGAGGATGTGTCAGGGTCCACACCTCTCACCATTACTTATGGCTTGAAAATGAAGGAAAATTGAGGCTCTTGGCGCTTCAAGAACAACAAGATGCAGTGAAGGCATAGGCAACTTTTGGTGGTCCCCATCCATAGCTGCAACCCAACACTGAAAAGAGCCTTCCTTTAGCAATAAGACGTGAGTAGATAGGAATGTGTGTGATAAGTGTAGAGTGGGTAGCCCACACAATGAATTATCTTGGTGCAATTAAGAGTAGTTCTTTATTTTGGTTATTTCTAATAAATTTTTGTATACTCATAAACAGAGGAAGCAAGGTAAGAATGATTTTTCAGAGTTGTGTGTGTGTGTGTGTGTGTGAGAGAGAGAGAGAGAGAGAGAGAGAGAGAGAGATAGAGAGAGAGAGAGGGAGTGAGGTGGGAAGAGGCGGGGTGATGTTGGAAAATACATCCTTTTGTCAAAATTTTGGCTAATTTTTTAACACGAAAAACTTTTGCAACAATTTTTTAAAAGTTTTTTTTGGGGTATAGGGTTGATCTTTCTGACTCTGAAACTTAGTCTGGTGTCTAACTTATGTGGGGAATAAGATGTGGAGTGTAGATCATTACTTCGATTCTATACTACTATTCGCTTCTTTCTCAAGAGGTAGTATAAGGAATAATAGGATATGATATTATTCAATTGGCTTAAGATATTCTGTAGCAAATCTGAGTGGATTTTGTACGTATGTTTTTATACCTTGAATCATTCTAGTATCCTATAAGCTCTACTGACATTAAGTGCATTATAACTTTTGACCTATGTAAAAAAGCTTGTTCTTATGAGCTGCAATAATTGTCATTGATAAACTCATCAACACTACTATACTAAAATGAAGATAAGTTTTAAATGGATGTGGGTCTCCATCATTGGATATATAAATATAACTGCCATTACCCTATTACTATTTTATTTTTTACTGAGCATTAGATATATCACTTACACGCAAATTTAATCTCTCTTTTTTTATTTTTTTATTTAGACAGTACTACATTATACAAATTAATTACAAAAGGAGAAATTGTCATATGAACAGTTTGCTCACAGCTATGACAGATACTGCTATTAAACACCCAGGATCTATGCGATCACATTTAAACTTAACTCAATGTAAACTAAAAATAGTTCGAGGATAATGCAAGTCCTGCAGCCTGGCAGACAATCGTGACATAGAGAAGAGAAACAATACCGAAAAGGATCTGTTACTCCCTTTTTTGTTTGCTTGATCAATGAGAATTTACAAAAAAAAAAAATTATTTTTTTTATGACTAGAACATGAGTTATCACATGATATAGCTATGGGACAATTCAATTATATATGCTTAAGGCAAGCAAAACTAGGAATTCAACTCGATAATATGTAGACCATAATCAATATGTAATGATGCAGTTGGCCAATTAGTCATAATTTGTAAATATAACCATCCTAACAAAATTTTATGGAAACGGTTTAGATGTCATTGTCTTGTTTGCAGAAAGAAAGAGATTCAACATTATTTGTCCCACCAGTCTAATTATCAACATTTTGATTGACAAGCCTCCTTCTGTCCAAAAAAGAACCACTAGGGTCCTCTGGTTGGCTCATGTCCTGTCCTTCACAGGAATGCTTAAAATTGTTGTTCAGGTTTCGTTCAACCCGAGGGACAACTTGTGTCACTTGATCTGCATTGTGTATTTTTTTCAGCAATTTCATTTCCTCTTTGGCAACTCTTCTAATACCCAATCACACGCCATGTTAGTTTAACAAGCTTTAACCTAGTTTTGTCTGGTACACAGGGGTTACTTTCATGTCAAACACAACCACCCTAATTTATTGATCCCCATCTCCTTGCTGTAAATATTCTCTATCCGGGACGTAGATTAATCATATTTTACCATAATTATTGTAACATAGTACCATACATGCAATAGAAGGCCGGAGTAAAATGGTATCATATCACTATAATTATTATTTCTACTTTGCGAGTTTACATACAAAAATATATGTTATGTACTTGCAGAACGAGAGAAAAAAGAAAAGAATCAGGATCTGAGGCATTTGGATTGAACTTGTCCAAGGAATTGTATGATCAATATTCCGATTCACATCTCCGTCTTCAGGTTGCTAGCTTCAATGGAACCTGCAAAACACCAAATTCGTCTCTTTAGGTTCAGAAATTAGAGCTAATGCGATTTACTGTTATATTAGTGCATAGAAAATGTATATGACTAATGGGTTGGTGACACAGCAAGTGGGAGTTTTTTACAGATCTTATATCTGAAGTCAACTAGTTTGATCTGATTCTATCTACTGTGCAACAAGATTACTTGTTTTAAGTGAGACATTTCTTTTAAAAAAATCATAACAATGCAGTGCTTTACTTGATAGTGAATTTGTGATATTCGTAGTTGTCAGCTGTGTGTCCATCAAGAAATAAAAATCATTATTCCTTTAATTGCTTTTTTTCTTTGGAAAAACAGTTTATTGTCAGCAAAAAGTCCCATCATTTTGATCATCTCAGGTGGAAGGCTGAGAAAAAGAAAGAGACCTAACAATCAACTTTCTTGATACAAATGAAAGTGGACAAGTTTTTCCTGTGAAAAATCATTTACATTTGCGGGGTTCTCTATGGTCTCTGGTATGTGAAGCAATATTCACTGCTTCATTTTCTACTTCCTACTCATGGAATATCATAAACACGGGCTGAATATTGATTCTGTTTACCTATAAATTGCTGGGGTGATAATGAAGTCGTTCTTCCTTGATGGAACTCCGCACCGTAAAGGTTTTGTAGATCAGCATCCCAAGTCGAGGAGTGCTGGATTTGCTGCTAATGAAAAAGTTGAATCTTCGTGAGAAAACTTCACATAACATAGGCTACAAGGGAAGAAAACACTAAAAGGTAAGAGAAATTACATTGAAACAGGACGAGTCTAGAAATGTTTCGGGGATGGATAAAGGAGCACTGAGAGTTCTTTTAAGTGCCATATCTGGAGGAGTTACCCCCAGGTCCATCCCACAACATGAAACTAATTGTTGCATTTGATTGAATTGAAGGTAAGCAGGATTAGTCATTTCTGATGACACCCCAATTGTTGGAAAATTGGATCCACAAGCTGGAAATACCTGTTGATACAGAAACATAGTCATTTTAGTTGTGTGTATATATATATATGGTATGTATTAATTCTTTGCATATGCTGTTATTTACCTCTTTGGCAAAGAGGTTATCAATGTTGAAGTCGAGCCTTGGATTCATGGCTGCTAGTTTCATGGACAGGAACTGTTTTGGTAAAAAGTAAGAACACTTGAGTAAGAATATAATCTTAGAGAAATGGATAAAGTGTCTATGTTGATTAGTGAGTATGTTACCTCTACTTGTCTCTGAAGAGATTGGACATAGTTGATGATTTCGTCGAGCATTCCGGCCTTTCCTGTGATCTTGTTGCACCCTGGTACCAAGTCTTGTAGATATTTCATTCTCTCGCTGATTTTTTCCCTTCTTACCTGCATATTTCACACATATTACAGAGTTTAGCGAATATCAATATTACATAGTTATTCATTCGAAACTGCAGTTTTTTTTAGACTTACTCTTTCTGCCAAGCTGTGGCTGTCCGTGGCTTGGCCTCGACGTGCTCGGACATGAATGTAATCAGGCTTTTGAACCTCAGAAACCTTTGAATTCTCCTTTGAAGTATCAGTAGAAGTTTCTCTGTTATTGTTATTGGTAATGCTCTGCTCTGTGATCTTGGACTCTCCTTCGTCTTGAGCACAACCTTTGATCCTCTTGTTTCTGGTCTCAGCTTCTGCCACTACCTAAATTTTTCAAAGAAAGATTTTGATTTGTTCACATTGAACCATAGTGGTAGTTAAATTGATAGCTTTTCTTTCTTCTCTCTCTCTCTTCTTTTTTTTTTTTTTTGGGGACAATTTGTCAAAATAATCAAGTTGTTCAATTATATATATATATAGAGAGAGAGAGAGAGATTCAGGGTATGCATACTGAGGTTCAAATGTGCACGCACCTTTGGGTTTTGGGTCTCATCAGCCTTCCTCTTTTTGAAGCTTTCTTTTGCAGTTGCAGAACTCAGCTTTCCCGGCAAAACGGACTCTCTTCCTTTGGTGTCAGCCACCCCAACCTCCACTTTTGCTGCTGTCATCGCCGGCGAGCAGCTTGCAGTCGCAGTAATTGGGATTGCATAATTCATCTCAAACCCAGACCCATTGACAAACTCACATGACCCGAAATCCGAAACATCCCCACCGACCTTCCCGAAATCCTGCCACCTGTTTTCCAAACCCGGATCCACCTTCACCGCCTGATTCATAAGCTGATTAAGAACCGGGTCACAGTTGACCAAACTCTCAAACTGAGCCTGAGCTGGTATAGAGTACACATTGAACTCATTCCCATCGAAATAACTTTGTTGTTGAAGCTGTTCTTGTTGCCACTTCATGCGGACTTGTTGCCTCTCGAGGACGCTCATGTCCGTACTATTCCCGGCGAGATTCATCATCAAGACCCTTTTTAGAGAGAGAGAGAAATAAAGTGTTGAAAAAGCTGACTAACTACTAGTGTTGCTCCAGTGTACGCAGCGTGCTTTATGGAAACTAAAAGGCGATGTGTACTGTGACGAGGATTGTGCCTAACCCACTTCCTCTCAGACCATTCACCATTTACTATCTATCATGTTCTAAGTTTCTCTCTCTATACATACATAAATATATTGTGTATGTATATGTTGTATTAATTAACGCAAACTAGCGCTGGTGAGTGGTGACCGCTGTGTGTGTGGTTTGAGAGAGAAAAGAATGAAGAGAATGTGTAAGGGTAAAGAGGGGGGAGGGTGGGGTATATATTGACACAAAAAAAGCTGCCGGGAAGTCTGACAACAAGTGCCGGAATCTGACACAACTAACCGGAATAAATAAGAGAGAGAAAGAGGATAGATGAGAGAGAGTGACACACACAACTGGGGCAGAGAGCCATCGGCTGTATCCATAACCAGAGGCTGTGGGTTGTGGTCCCGGCATGACATGACCGCCACGTGCTCTGTCCCAAGAACGGCAAAACGGAGAGAGAGGGAGACGGCGTTTTAGGCTGTTGAAGGATGGCGAGGTGGGTCGGCTTCTTTTCTTGTTATTTTATTTTGGTTACGTCTTGACCCACGTGGTATTGGGGGGTACGAGTACAGGTGGCAGCCAAGGACCGCTTTGGGTCTGACATGTCAGATTGATGATGTGGAAGGTGACGGTGCGGAACGGGTTGATTGGCAGCTTGGTACCTGAAAATTAGAGTGTCGCCAACAGAAACCATTAAATTCACGCGCCCTCCTCAATCTTATTGACATCACTTGTACTAGTACTTGTGTCTTGTAGCCAATACCATTTTTTATTTTGGGGACTCACTTCGGATAGGCAGTTATTGTTGTAATTATATTATGAATTGATGATACTCACTCAATATAATCTTACTATGTGGATTGTGTGAATCTAAAACGCAATGATTTTAAATAAATTTGACTTTTGTATGACTTTGAAATATTTTATCATTGATTCACATTAAATAAATAATTGATACATAAGTAAAAAAGAAAATTTCTATAAGAATATTATTAGGAGGAGAGTGTGGAGATCTAAAAAAACAAGGGCAATGAGTTCATGTAGCGGAAATGACAATATTAAGATGGATGAGTGGGGTTATTAGGAGGATAGGGTCATTACTAAAATGTAAGAGAGTTTAGGGTTAACATTTATTGGTGAGAAAATTAGAGAAAGTAGACTTGGACAATTTAGACACTGACCTACTGCTGCGTCTGTCAAACGAGGAAGGCTACAAGGTAAGAGACAAAGAATAAGATAAAAAATAACATGGGATGAAGTTATTAAAAATACTTTTTAAAAGTGAAGTATAGTAGGTGAAATGACATATAATAGACAAAGATTGGCGAGAGAGAATTCATGTGGCTGACCCATTCATATGGAAGTAAAGCAAGAATGATGATGAAGATGATGATTCACATAAAATTGGAGGCAGATTTTCTTAAAAAAAAGGCGGTTGAAACCTCGGATTTCTCGAGTCTGTGTGCCCAATAGGATGTGCGAATTTGATTTGAATTTTCATCAGTCAGGTGGATCTATATGCTCCAGGGTGGTGTGACGAGATACATGAATCTATCGTTCAAACAACATTATCCGACGCGCAGGATGCGCGTTTCTGCCAGCTCTCAGATGTTTATTGATGAATAGCTTTTACTTTGTAAATCAAATTAAACGTAGCAGAATCTTGATTTATGAAGTTTCCGTTTAGTCTCCTCAGGATAATTTATGACGCTCTTGTCAGCGATAGCAAAGGTCAGATGTGAAAAGGAGGTGCTTTAATGTCAACGACAACCCTAGGGTATCTTTTTGACAGACTTATTGTCCAAATTATACAAAATGATAATTTTGTTCCCTTTTTTTTTTTTTTTTTTTTTTTCTTAATTGGTACTCACACACATATGTCTCTTCTGAGATTTGAACCCTGATATCTCTTTGGAAAGTAAGAGGTCGATACCGTTAGGCCACAGACCCGTTGGTATAATTTTGTTCTTTTCTCGTATAAAAAATAATATAAGGACATTACTGACTTTTTACCTTCAAAGTTACTTTTCAGCAATCAACGAACGAGTTTAGGGGAAGGCAAAGTAATAAATGCTCAACAGTTTATCCATGTTTGATTTGCCTAAATCTCAAGGAGACCAGTGTAATTTACCCGCGTATTAACAATGTGTCCTTTATGATTGAGGCAAAGGGAAAAACCACCTGAACTCTCATATTATAGTTTTATGATTCATTGCTTAAAGACCCAAAAGGGTAAAAAAAAAAAAAAAAAAAAAAAACTTTAAGAGACCAAAAAAATAAATAATAAATAATAAGTAAACAAAATATCTTCCCCCTTTTCTGTAATCTGAGGTGTGTCACGGGCGCGTGGAGACCCACCATATGATTTCATGCTGCAGCAGAAATTCTGCATGTATTAAGGACTTGAGTCATCCCTTCTAAAAATAGCACATTTCTCTTGAATTATCTTTTCAATTACATCATTTTTTTCGCCCTTTCTATGGGGAGGGTGAGTTTGATTTGAGTAAGCATCATTTGGTATCTTTGTCATTCATAGTAAAGCTTATGTAACTTTCTACTTAAAACCTATCATTAATAGTAAAGCTTATGTGACTAATTAACTTTCAACTTAAAACCCTAAACCCACCCTTCTAAAATCTTTGCTATTCATTGAGATATCTGCATCACACTTTTGGGACCACAAGCTGCATAATTTTCCATACAATTGTTATCAAGAATGAGAGAGAACAACACAATCAACTATAGATTTAGTTTCATTTTCATATAAACCTTTATTGCCTCTGACCTTGACAGTGTGAAAGAAGCTACCACCATCTGTTTGTTGTAGTATTGTAATTAGTAGTCCACCCCGTTACATTATCAGCGAGTTTGAATCAAATGTCTAGTCTTAATAGACATTTCGGGCCAGTTAAGGTTGCTGAAACGACAACTAACCTTGATTAGGAAAAACGACAACATCTTAGAGACCGTTATTAAGATATTTTTTTTCCAGTTTTGTCGTCATCAAATATATGAAATTTTAACTTCCATTCGTAGAAGAATCAATCATTGTCACAGATGTTTTATAGTTAACGGACAAGTAAATAAAAAATCTCTCCAAGAAACACTTTTAACATGTTTATTTGCTAATTGTCGTGGCCTTAGCTAGCGCTACTGTATGGTTTCTCTCTTCTCTTTTTATTTTATTTTATTTTATTTATTTATTTTTTAATTGGTACTAACACACACACAAACCCTTGACCTCCCTTTGGGAAGTAAGGGTCTGATACCGCTAGGACTAGCCCGTTGGTACTGTATGGTTTCTCTGAGTGTGAATGCTTGAGTTTTGACTTGATGCCTTTTATATACAAGTCTAATTGTCTAAATCAGGTTTTACTTGGTTTTTTAAAATGTGCTTGGCTTATACAGATTCTATATATATACAGTTGAGATCATGCCTTAATTGCATATTATGCAGACATTTTGAAGCTTGAAGCAGAGGAGTTTAGTGGCTACCAGATATCATTTGGAGTGGTGGGAACATGTCCAGAGAGGATGAAGGCTACTTCTATTATCAACAAAGGGCCCATTATCCCCACTACCTCCCTCTACTTTACTAGTAAGTCCCACTCTCTCTCTCAATTTTGTACACTCACACATGACCTTATACCAAAACTAAAGGCAAATGGGACCTATATTTCTCCATCTTATTTCTTCAATCACTTTCAATGTGGGCTGCTTCAACATAGAACTATCCCTTCTCCACTGGTTTCTGTGTTTTTCATTTCCTTACTCGAGTTCTTTTCGTCTATATATTTGGATTGACTTAAGGCTCCCAAGTATACTGTATTTGTCTTAATGCTTTCATATTTGGTGTACCCTAGATTGCACATTGGCACTTTATCCGGATAGGGTTACAGTCATCTTGATAATTTTGGGATAATTTTGGGAAACGTCATATACATGTGAGATTTTTTTTTTATTTTTTATTTTATTTTATGTATTTGTCTTTTTAATTTTCTTGTAGAATATATAGGATTTCACTAACAACAATCTTCACTGCTAAATGATGATTATTGACAATTTACTCTACATGGTAAGATGATAGTTACATATTACTCTACAAGGTGAGTGGTAAAATGGAGTTATCTAAGAAAAAATAATTATTACTTTTTAATTGTCAAATTGATCGTTTCGAAGCATATAGTTATAGATAATAAACCATTGATCGTGTCGAGATCTCAAACTATTAAAAAGGTAAAAAGCTACTACAAGAATGCTGACAGTGAACTTGCATTCTCATTACTTTTGGATAGAGACTAACAACGCATCCTTTTGATCTAACAAATACGAGAATACAAATTACGTTACAACTCGTCGAATATGCATGGCAATCTATGTTAAACGCTCACAATAATTAAGTTATTAAAGATAAAGTTAATGAAGTTGTAAAAATATGCTAGTATGGGGAAGAATATGAGCTTGGAGGTGACCTTTTGGAGGAAAAAAGTTGACTGGATTGCCAATAATGAGTGGCTGGCAGAAGTAGATAATGGAGGCTGTGTGATTGGGCAGTCCAAACTTCTATGCAAGTCATATCAACTTATTATTACAACTCCCAGAAGAAGAGCCCTTAGTCGACCTTGATATTGTCACACTAGTTTATTTTTAGTCCTCTTATCTTATCTTTCATGGATATATGGAAAACAATAATGGAGATGAGAGATGGGAGGTGAGAAGGCAATCTAGGGTAGCGGCAGATCCGAGGTATAATATGAAATCTTACTTCCCACATCCCCCTCCCTCTCTCTCTCTCTCTCTTTTTCGCTTTCACTTTCTATATATGTAGATAAAGAAATCAGAAACACACAGCAGATATCTCAGGACTACTCTACTGCAGATAGTTATTATTTGCAACCATAAATATACAAAGTCATAAAACAAAACTATGGTCTCTCATATACGTATACATATTGGGTATTAAGAGAAGTTTAATTATAAAAAAATGAATGATACACAATAAGGTTTTAGTACACGCAATTCAGACTCAAATCAAGAAAAAAAAGTAACAAAATTGACAACCTCTCACATTATGAAAAGGCTGGCAAGGAACCTTTCATGGCTTGAGAGGGAAAGCGAATCTCGCGCAAATATTAACATCCAAGAAAATAAGTGACTTAAGCAAGTGAAAACGATCGATGCAAGTTGCATTCCTTTATGTAGGAGGAGAATTCTCGTGTTATAGAATAGGAGGTTTCTTTGTTTTCTTAACAAGGTCCCTTAGACTTCCCCAATAAGCTTGCACGCACTAGTCTTTTTCTCTGT